AGTACGAGTGGGATTTAAGCTTTGCTTTGGAACGCCTTCAAGCTTAATTGAAGTGAATTTTCAGGAAATTTTATTACTGGCTATTTATTCAGCTAAAAAAGACAAACAATGAACGCTTTAAAATTACCAAATAATTAAAACTTAAACAATGCTTTGGTCTGGGGCTGCTGCTGTAAAATGTAAAGCTAAATGGCTTCACATACTTGCCAAAAGTATACATTCGTGCTAAAGAAAAAAACAACAACAATAGACAAAGAAATGGGCAAAAAGACTAAAGAGTGCTTTTCTCTGCCATATACGACTAAAGTAGGAAACATTTTTGTGATATGTTAGAATATCCGCAAAACAAACTCACGTAAAGCTCCATTTTGTCATTTAAGACTGAAAATGAAGCCCCTAACAATATTTTAATGTCAACTGTCAACTCAAATAATAAAAAACTGCTCTTATGTACATTCACATGAAGATTTATTTTCTTTTCCACTACCCTCGCTGACAACATTAGACAGTCCTCTGACTGCATGTGGTCCTTCTTCGTCTATGTCTGTGTAGTAGGTAGGAATGCTACTTAATTTGCCATAAAAGGGAACTGCACATTCATGGTGAGTTTTTAGAAAACTGGCAAAGCAGGTGGCCTTTCGGATTTGCGATTTTATTAACTGTCATCTGGGACATCCGAATGTTTACGTGTCTTGGCTTTGGACTGAATTTAATATTTTAAGACCACATGTTTTACTCTTATTTAAAGAGTAACATTACTTTTTTAGCTAATAGGCGAATAATTGAAAATAAAAATATCTAATTTATATTATTTACTTGTATTAAAAAGAAAATGTTGATAGTTCAGAGCACAAATATTGCAACATAGTGTGAAAATAACAACAACTATCTATGGATGGCTAACGTTAAGAAGTGAAATTGTCTTTAGACGGGCTTTCAAAAACTGTGCCTAAAAGGGGCACGAACTAGTAGTTACCGGTCAATGTTTGCATATAAAAGCAAAGTTCACTGTATTACATAGTTTTAAGTTTGCTGCTTAATTATTGTGAGAGAACCCAAGGAAATTTATATACTATACACATAAAGACACACACCCATATGCAGAAAATATACAAGTACAACGTGGAAACACATTTTAGTGTGTCGCAGTAATTTTCTCCATGTTTTTGATGTTTGCGGAGGGGCGGTGCAAAAGCATGGCCAATTATTTACGACGACGAATTGCTGCATAATTTTAGGGTCGACTTTTAAAGCTGTCTGAGTCTGCCTGTTGGCGCATATTTCGCTTGCCACCTGGTGCAAATTCCACAAGTATCCAATTTTATTACTTACTCGTATATTTGCACTGGCTTGGAACGACAACAGAAATTAAAAGGCCAACAAAATGACATTCTAAATTAAAGTCAGAAATCTAATTTTGGTTTCGGCTTTCGCTCACGGCTTTTTGATAATTAAAATCATTGAATTTTCTATTTTGAAGTAGTTTCAAGTTGTAATAGGCGCCGGGTCGTGCAATTAAAAGTATTTGCTCTTACTGCACGCTGTGGATAAGAAAGCATTATTTCGGGAACAAAAAGCAGACAAAGCCATGGAAACTGTGTGAATACGGACGACAGGAATGTGATATTCCATTATTTGAAAGCCAATGCATGATAAAAGGCCAGGGCATAGATTTCACAAAACACATGTGTCGTCTTTTGGCATGTGTTTGGCATGTTTAATCAGGCAAAAACAATATGCAAATAACCGGCTTTTATTTTTCGCCGCTTGATCGGGTGTTGGGTAACAGATTTTGCTGACTGTTGCGGTTAGTTCGTGCGTGCTTCGAAGCTAAGGCAAAACTTTTGGGCATCCTTTCTGCTGTGCTCAAGCTGAGCCTGTTGATGGCAGCCCAATTACTGAAATTTTTGCTTCATTCTATCAGGTGCCCGTTGGCAGTACCCGTAATCGTGCCTTTAGCTGCATCCTCTATATCAATATGGATTATACAATTGTCAATTATCCAATTGGCAACACTTTAGATGCTGGAAATTGGAAACAGCAATATACTTGTATAACTTCATGTCTCTATTGGATTGGTGCAAACACATCTAAGTGAGATGCAATACACCTAAATATGGATAATAAGCTATTTAATAAACAGATAATGAGGAGCCACATAACACTTGTATATGCGTAAGTCATCTGCTTGATTTTATTTACTTAGAGGGGAAAACAAAGTCAACCAATACGAGAAGTATTTGCTGGATGGCGAGGACTTTTGGCCCTCAGCAATATGGGCAAGAATAACGCAAGTTTTATGTAGTCAGCAAATACCCACAGGAGCTGCATGCAAATACGCGTTCTTTATATTTGAAGAAGAGGCGGAAATCCCTAATGAAGTTGTTTAAGTAGAAAGATTATTGTCGATGGGCCGATTTGGGCATACCAGATTGTACACACAATGTGCAACTTCAAAGTGAAATAAGAAAAAATATTATTTCAAGTGAGTATAGAGGATAATTTACACCAAACCTGTTTGCTTTGAAAATACTTGATATCCGAAAATAAGTTGAAAACGTATTTGATTATGAAATATATCAAATTTGTATCTAAGTTGCGCATGTTTATTGTGTTTTTTTTTTTCTTAAATAGTAATATGAAAACAGACGGGGATTAAAAGTGAATTCAACACTTCAATCTCTATAAATGCCTTAATTATAAGTATATTTATTTTATTAAAAATATGTTGTCGCAAGGCAGGTGTTTATGACATATAAATTATGTACAAAAGTACCGAAGCCACAAATATATAGTAACCACATATTCTTGATAAAAAGTTGCGCAAGACTATTTGAATTTGATGCGAATTTTTAAATTTTTCCAATGCCCTATATTGTTTGAGTGCGGATTGATTTCACGACTGATTACACACTGTTACGTTTTGCTGCGGTTCTTACATTTTCTGCGTGGATATTTAAAGAAAAAAGGCGCCTAAAAACATGCAACAAGTTTTTTACACAAAAACTGTACAGCCTTTGTACTTCGAATTATACATAGCTGGCCGGCCTACACACATTAGAGTCGCCCACACCCATTCAAAAAGCAACAACTGGCACCGACGGCTGCCACACAAAGTGGCAGAGGCACGTGCTGTGTCTGATGGGCGAACTTCGAGCGATTAGAACTTTTGCCATTGTCGTCCGAGAAATAAATCTTGAACTAGTCAAATACTGTCACACACAGACGGAGGGACACAAAAACCATTCTGGACAACAAAACACAGTTTTGACATCTGCTGGCCACTTGTATATAGTGTTTGTGGTTGCTTTTTTTTTTAAAGAAGGGCGAATAAATTACAGCTGATATACTCGTAATTTAAACTTTCCTGACTTTAACTTGGCAACAAAAGAAAGAGGCGACGGGTTTTCTGATGAGCTATCGGTGTAGGTTTCTTGCAGCGGAACCGTATATAATTGAAATTGTGTATCATCTTCACAATATAGGTGACTCAGAAAAAAAATGAATTGTAGCAAAGCAATTACAATGTCGCATGAATGTCTTTGCAAAGCAGCCATCAGGCCAGACAATATCTCTAAGGACCCAATGCTACAACTGGAGCACCATGGACAATTCTTTTGACATTTGATGACCTTTGGCAGTTGCTATATGGAAGTTAGCGAATCAATAATTAAATGAAAAAACAGCAATTGAGACGCAACGGGCAGAGAAAGTTACATTAAGAGAAGCGAACTGTGCATACACTCTTAAAAACTGGCATTTTTTTTTTGCCTATTATTGTGGTTTAATGGATTAGATGGGCTTATTATTGAAGAACCTTAGCATTTCTCGACCCATTTGGAACAATATTCAGAAACGTGCGTAGCTTTTGTTCTATTATAAACAACGACTGGAAGAAACCACTAAAATGAAGTGTGTACCTTCTCCGGATATTAATTTGTATTTCTGCAGACAAAACAATATCCCTGGGAATACACTGGGCCATGGACAAATAGAAAATAGGAAAATGGGAGCTGGAAGTGCGAAACAATTGCGTGCTAAACGCCAAAAACGTCAAAGTCAAAAAATGTTACAACAAAATGACCCAATGAGGCAATAAATGCAAAGAAAAATTGACATGGGTCCTAGACAGGGAACCAGGCCTCGGAGAATTATGCTGTTAGCACGGCTAGCTTCGCTGACGTGGCACAGTTCGTCTGTTCTTTTAAATTAATTAGGGTTACAGAGTTAAAGGCTGCGTGTGCGCATTTTTTAAATGTTTTTGTGGTATTCTAGGCCACTCGACTTCCGAATAAAAGGACACTCGTAAACTTTCTTCGATGTGCTCCACTTTTCCTTCCAGCAAAAAGGGAGTCAAAGTCTAATACATCTTGATCTTCAAAGAAACTTCAACTTGAACTAATCATGATTTTCCCCAAAATATTCTGTAACCACCATATTACAACTTATTCGTATATCGAGTATCTTATTGATTTAACCATTTGTTAATCAAGTGATGTTTCATTGTACTCTTATTTTTGGCGGAATAAATAATTAAAACATTCATTTGTTTTTCTGTTTCTTCTTTTTCAGAATTTTATTTTGTTTTTATTACAAATTTAAGATTGGCGGTTAACCGCTTGGTTACTTCCATATATAAATGATAAAATACATATTTTATTCGAATTGGAGCTTCGCATTTCACATTTAAATAATAACACATATGTAGCGCCTAAAATATACAAAAAAGGAACAATTTATGGAACCGCCTAGATTCGAGTATTTCTGGACAGTTCATAAATTTAGCTTTCATTATAAATGTAAATCGATTTTTTCTTTTGATATACGTGCACTTATAAATTACTTGAAAGGAAATCAAAATAAAAAGTTTCTAATATTTTTCTTTCTATTTCTTTTTTCTTTTTTTGTTTTTTACTGAACTACGGAGAATCAGCACTTTTTGGCAATATGTTTGGCTTGGATGTTGGGAAGCCAGCAGTATTGAAAAAATTCAAACGTTGTGGAGGATTTAAAGACTATAAACTATGTTTTATTATAATTTAAGTCGGGTCTTGCTACTTTTTATTAAATTCATTTTGCAGTTGTTTGAGTGGAAAACAAAGCTCATCGTTTGGGGGCCCCATTATGCATTCGTTGTGGTTGTCCTTGCTGTTGTTTAAGTCATCGTTATAGGTTGTTGTAATTCGTTGTCGTTCGTTTACAAAATCGAGCGGTGTGCTGCGGGAATTGAAGACAACATTTTTATAGCAATGCAAAAAATTGTAGAGCAGCAACATATAAAGTCAAAGGATGATTTACGAGTATGTGTACAAAAATAATGTAAATGTGAATGTACATGCCATCTTTCAGATACTTGTAAGGGTTATTTACATTTTTCTTCGATTGCCATGGAGTTCATTGTTATTGAAATCGTGAAATTTTGATATCAGATATTTGGGTTTACTCTTCAAATGTACTACATATATGTATATAAGTAAATGGCGCACTATGGGCTACTACTACAGACTACTACTAGGGATATTACGTACATTCGAGTAAGGGATACTACAAGTCAATTGTGTAGTTTGCACAACGGATTTAACGCATGCGTTGGTTTAATATTTAATTCTTACCAATTTGATTGCTTAACATTTCGTTACATGTGATATTTGTAAATTGTATATTATAAAGAAATTTTAAAATGCCATATGATATACATAGCATCGGTTTTGATTAGAATTGCGTTTGATACAGCTAACGATTTTGAGATGTGATTTTCTTAGAAAATTTCCTCTTCCTCAGCTGTGTAATGCAATTAAATGTAAACAAAATAAAAATTATAATTTTAATATTAACTTCAAGTGATAACCGTCATGAAAGAAGCCAACCACAGATACGACTATGGGCATCTCTTATGTCGGTGTAAACGAGTCGTCTTCTAAAGTGGGAACTACGAGTATGTGCTACGGAAGCACATGCATGTCATTGTAAAGAATCTGAACCGTTCTGTATAAATTTTTCGAATATTTGGCCAATCATTTCCATATTTACAGACATGTCAATGTATTCGCTATGAAATATCAACAAATGAGAATTAAATAGTCGAGGAGAACCGACTAATAAAATGCTCTATGCCCAAACTTATACATTTTTATCGTCTCAGCCGGATAAGATGATGTTTTAAGCTCTAGATGTTGAAGAATTTGATAAAAATTTCTCTATTTTTCTTTATTGACGAAGACCTGCATACTATCTTGGTGACTTTGGTTTTTATACTTTCAGAGACTGTTCATTTCTATGCGTTCCATATACATATGTTCTATGCATCTATACTATATCTCAATATCTAAATTAAATCATAAATAGAATATCAATTGAAAATTAAAATTATAAGCAGCGCTTCATCCGAATCGAGCAATCTGTAATGAGCGGACTTGAAATGTGACAGTTTTTTGAAAGCCCAGTTTCTATATGCATTTTCATAGCTTGACTTGAGTAAAATGTTGGTTTCATAATACTTGGAATGTCTCTTGATGTAGGCGATATCATTAGAACCCCTTTTTTGGTGTTTGGACACAGATCATGGAGAACTTGGAACATGGTTTTGAAATTTTTAACAAAGTTTAGATGCAGCACTATTTATAGGACCCGTCAAACTATCACCAATACTTTTTAAATAAAACTTACGTGTCAAGGGTCTGGCAGGGTGCCTCGACCACAAGTAACGGTTCTTCACCGGCGACAAGTACGAATCACGTGCCACGGGGCTTGATGCACGGAAAAGGGGCACTGAAGTGGCACGGAAGGGCACCAAATCATCAACGTCCCACCAGAAGGGATCGCGCACAATCGATGAGATGGGCAAGTGAGGGCTGGGGCTCAACATATCCCTTATGCGGTTACGCGGATGGAAGATTGGAAGTCCTGTTGTGGTTTGATACAGCGTATTGCAAATTGTTGTAGATGTTTCGAATCAAGTAGCAATTGGTGTGGAACGGATCGGATCGGATCAGATCAGATCAGAACGTGTGTAGATGGATGGCGATGTGGTGCGTTTTAAGGGTATATACGTATACAAATAAATTTGATGTTGTTTCATTTTTGTTGTTTTGCAATGTGGTATACAAGAAGAGCAGAAAGAAAAATATTTGTTTGCTTGTTTTTAAACTAAAATAAAAATTAAATAAAAACAAGAAAAAGACAACGCTTTAACTTCAACAATATTTTTGATATTTTCCATGCGTATGTAGGGTTTTGAAATGGAAAAAATATCAATCGGGGCATATTCGTACATATAGTATGTACATTCGTATGCTGGAAGGGGGCTAAGCAATAGAGGACTGCAAAGTACGTAAGCCCTGAGAAAGCAAGGCACAAAAAGCATAGAGGATAGGCAACTACTTAGTGAGGGCGAGCTAATCAGTGGATGGGATTTTTTATAGACCTCAAGCACGGCGCTTACATTTGGACCCAATTGGTTTTTTTTTTTTTTGGGTTATTTTTGTGATGATGCTGCTGGTCGCTTAATCAAGGCATATGCATTCTGGTAAAGGCCAAAGAGTATAAGAATTTGATAAATGATGGCAACATGTTGGAGCCGAACGAGTGACAAAATTAACGGCAATCATTTTTCAACTCGTCCGCTATCTTCATGTTCTTCATCTTCTTCACAGTCTGTGTCTGTGTCACATTAGCAACAAAGGCGTAACATCAACACGAAATTTCACTCTTCTTGTATATGAAAAAGAATAATTTTGATTTTTACCATCAGCATCATAGGCGACTTCAGTGGGACGAGGTCCCCAGCGACCGGCTTTGACAGGAGTGGGACTTGGCGAGCCGGCGCGCTCAAAAATGCTCGGCCTAGCCACAGCTGGCCCGGCAGCTTCAGCTTCAGCTGCCGCTGCCGCTGCCTCTACCTCGGGCGACTTACGTTCAAAGAGTTCATCCAATGGTTCCAGCGAGCTGGCACGGAAAAGTGGCCTCGTGAACGGAGCCAAGCTGGTTGCACGGTCGAAAACGGATGGTCCACGTGGCACACTGCCATCACGGTTCCAGTAAACTGGAGGAGGCACATAGGGTTCGCTGCCGGCGCGAGTCGAACGACTGGGACGTGCTGGCGATGCCGAGCGACGCGCTGAAAAAGTTGATACAAATACATATTGTGGCTATAGGCAAAGGCAGAGCATATTTTTCCGTTGCAATTGTTATTACAGCCATCTCTAAAATGATAGCTCCAACATATCTGAGCCTTCTATGCTTCCAAATGGCTATTCTCATTGTCTAATAAGTAATACTTCTATCCATAAGTATTGCACTACTTCTTTAATTCAATTTCTCGACCAAACATCTTCAACTACATTGATTTTATCTGCACTCGTCATGGTTTTAAAATAAAAAGTTCAATAGGCATAGAACTTTGTTTTACCCCTCCATGAATTCTCTATATTTATGTATTGCTTGTGGATTCAATAATTGGGTACCAGTGTTCGCATTTGTGTTCCTGCATGTTCCTTTCATTTCAACATCAAGGAATATATTATCCGATATAGCCATATCCTTCAGATCAGGCCAGCTGTCAAATAGAATTCCTTTTTCATGCGTCTTCAATAGTGTTAGTTTACTTGTAGGAAGCACGTTTCTTCATAATTGTTTGTTTTTTCGAGCTCAAGAAAGTAAACTGCAAGGTTTTTGGCTAAATATTTTCTAAAATGTCTTACTTACCGAAACATTAACAAAATGATAACCAACCTTTGATGAATTGAGATCTTTACAAACATCTTAAACAACAAACTAAACAAATACATAGCAAAACATTACAATGTGTGGGCACGAAACAGATTCTAAACAAATTAAGACTTCCAATATGTACAAGTATGTGTTTGTTTCGGAATTGGACACAGTTCAACAAAACTGGAGTATACATGTTTAACAATTGAATATAGAAGATTTGTGAATTTACTAAACATTGAACATTTTCGTTAAATATTTCATTTGAAATGGGGTTTAATTTTAAGTACGAGTATTGGCAATATTTACAGGCGCCTCACAGAGTAAGTGATTTTCTATGCTTTGTTTTAGTTATGAATTGGAGAGTGAAACACAGCCAGAGACAGGATACAGACAGAGGAATCAATTTGGTCAATGAACAACATACATGAATTAGCAATATTAATACGTAGGATTTTAATTTGAATGGAGAACGAGAAACATAAAAGTTTCAATAAGTGTCCGAGTTCGGCGAAGTAAACTGAAGGAATTTCCATAGATTCTTATTATGAGTTGTATTTTCTTTTTAGTTTAATATAATTATTGAGTTAGGAACACGCCAGTTGAAAAGGCCCGGTCATTTATCAGAGGAAGTTCCGTCAACAGTGGGCTCTAAAAATATTTTCCACATATTCGCAAGCCACAAGTTATGGTACAGCTGTTAGGAGAACTGAGTAAGGCTTGAAGCAGTACAGAGATGGGTTTGCATGGCATATGAAGGCCGCCTCATGATGGAAATGAGTCAAGAGGTCGATAGAGTTTTTGATCGATGTTTTAATGGTAGTTCTCGTATTAAGTATGACTAAATTAAAATTAGGTTTTATAAATGTTTTGTTGGTTTTATTACTTTTGTTTTTGGTTGTTGTATAATTAAATAAGTTTAAAATTAAATAAAGCATCATATTATACAATGAAACATTTAACGAAACTTTTTTCTTCACTATTGTTGGAGTTTATACAGACAAATTATTTCATATTATAAGTATTTAACATTACTTGCAGGTCTACAATTTACAATTCTTGCCTAAAGCTAAGCAAAACAAAAGTTTTAAACCAGTACGCGCTCAGTACATCAAACTTTAATAGCTGCAAGATATAGTACACAGTTAAAAAAAAGTTTAGAGAGAAGTCATAATAATGCAAAATTTTCTTTAAATATTTCGTATGTCATGTATTATAGTGTTTTTTTCATTTTTTGGCATTTTAAATGTATATATCTTTTTTTTGAATTTGAAAAAAATCTGTTGAGTTCTTGTTTTTGATGTTCGTGTGATGCATTTTCCGAGTATTTGTTTCGCTATTTTTCGTGCTTACATTTTGTAAATTTAATTGAGTGGCTTCGTTATGTTCTTAATACAAATTTTGTTGGTAACTCTACAATTTTCATTGTTGCTTTTGTTGTTGTTGTGTTGTTGTATTGGTTACTTTTGTTGTTGGTTTCTTTTTTGTGACTTTTACAAAATGTCTTTGATATTCTTACCCTTGTTGAGTTCTGCCAGCAGCTTGTCTTCTGGCTCGTATTCCAAAGGCACCAAAGAATTGGGTGTCAATGGCTTGTCTCTCAAGTAGAGACCATAGCGAGATGGATATCTAAGATAGGGCCAGAACAAGGTTATGTTTTGTTATTAAATATGTTCCTTATTCACTGAACATTTTTACTTGATCTGATAAGCAATCGACAACCGTTTCTAATAGTAATCCTTCGCTGCCCCATGCCCATAAAAACCCATTGTGGCATCTTGAAAATACAATTCTTTAACAACAACCTCAATGGCTTTAATTATCTACATAATAATATGTTGTCAACAAAAGTTGTGTGCATATCTATTTATACTTTTTTGAATGAGAATGAATGACTAGGAGACTTAAACAGTATATGTCGATTCGTAGCTCTGTTTTCGTACTTCGAAAGTCGAATGAAGCTATTGTTCAATATAACTACAAGTACATAACTTTAAGTTGTGGTTTGTGATAATCAATTATGATATTCATTAAAAATACAACCGATAACTTATCAGATCCCTTATTCATAAACACAAATTTACAAACCTGCGCTCAATTTCCTGCATGCGCTTCAAATGATCATTCCAGGCCTTCTCTGCGTCGTAGTTAGCTGGAACTGTGGGTGGAAAGCAGAAATATAGCCCGATGTTATATTAAGTGTTTACCATACACGGATCAATGTAATTTCAAACAAAATGCGTTCGTTTAACAACTCAACATAAAGTGCTTACATTTTTAAAGAAGCGCATGTTAGAAAACACATTTTATTAGGTTTCAAGTTGCTCAGGCTCAGGTTTTGTTCCATTAATAAAGCAAAGGCGTTGGATATACGTACGCATAGGTATAATCCATGGTAGTGTTTGAAAGCGGTTTTATAAATAGGGAGTTAGGAAAGAAAAAGCATTGAAAAGAGAAGAAAATATGCTTTAATAAATGCTTGCATTAAATAGAAATGATAAAAAATGCTCGAAATGATTGCATGAGTTAATGTAGACAGGAGACGAGTACATCTGAACGGGGAATAAAATCAAACGGCATTATCAAGGAATTAAAAGAAATACCTCAAAAACTAGTTTCAATAAAATTGCTAAAATTTGAACAAAGTTTTTAATAAATAAATAGAGTTCCACACCGCAAATGTTTTATTTCAGAAAGCGTAATCTGTAAGAGCCAAACTACATTAAAAGTTCTACAAATTAAGTTTAATATTCATACTAAATAACTGCCATTAGCTAATGCAACATACATTTACTTTAGTATGTACTAATAAATGATTTAAATTTGAATCGTTGTGGGACCCAAAAGCTTGACTATGAAAAATTTTTCGAAGTGCGTTGCGTAGTGTTGAAGTTTTAAAATGTTCTTAACAATTTGTGTATTAAACAATGGCTTAGTTATATTCTGAAACATTTGTAAAAAAGAGAGAAAAAATTGGTTAGTTTCCAAAAAACAAAAACATATTCATGGTGGCTGTGGCTAGGGGTACCAATTCAAATGATGTGTGGGTGTGATCTACACATAAACATACAACTAGGGTACACAATGGAACCCAGGTTATTCGATCTCGACGGCCATGAGCAAGCCACAAAATCGAGAGAAAAATGCAAAAACCAAAAACAACGGCAAAAACAATATGTTTATTTTCCTATAAATTTTATACAAAAAGAAGAAAATGTTCCGCCTATGTATATGCCTCAAACGTAATCTATGTATATATATACACATATAACTATGTATAGTATATACAATATGAACATGTGTACGAGTTTAGCTGAAAACCAAAGCAAAAGATATACATACAATACAATACATACATGTATGTGTTCATCTATATTCTTTAAAAACTGTGGGCCTTTGCCAAAAACAACTCGCAGCGAAATACCGAAGACCGAAACATCATTGACGTAATACTTGCGCGCTCGCATTTTATTTTAAAAATTATGAAATCATAGAAAGCCGCGTAAGTTGGCAACGAATAGAGCCGCGACACAAGAATATTCAAGGTGCTGCGCCCAGCTATGTCTGCACACACATATACTATATAGCATAGGTATGGGGATAGGAATAGGTATACATACGTATAGCATATACCTGCACACAAATAAGTAGTGTACTATATACCCCATATGCTTTATATAGGAATGCATATGCCAGTATGTTCGAGTATGGCTAAATGATGGGCAGGTATGATTGACAATGCAATGACTGAGGTGCATTGAAATGCTGTGCAAATGGCGGCATGATTGAGTAGTTGGCTGCTTGCTATGGCTGCTATACGTACATACATACATACATATGTACATATGTACATATGAATGTATGTATACTAAAGCTATACTATATGCAGTATGCATATGTCCGTATATGATGGATGGATGTGTGATGTTGTAAATCAAAAGAATTCGAATTAGAAGCCAAATTCGCCAGCTCTAGCTGTCTTAAACGTAGATTTAGATTTGTGCGGGGCTTTTGCTAAATAAGTATGTCAGCGGGCCTTAGCCCTTTTGCGGATGGCTTCTGGACACTTACTAGTTCTGCTGTAGTGATGATCGTAGATGGCACGTGGCGAGTAACCGTAGGTGTCACGGCTCACGGGCAAGTATCTGTAGCCAGTGGACTGCACACGTTCGTTGGCCGTCGAGGGCTCATCATAGATGCTCCTGTATGGTGGTGTCTCCAGGTAGGAGCTGTATGGACGTGAGGCTCTCGGGGTTTCATGGGCGCGAATATCCTCGGATCCTGTAGGTAAATTGGTGCAGTGATAATATGATTAAATAACTATTGCTTCAGCTATTGATGTTAACACAAACTTTGCCCGTGCCCCCACCCGCTCTCGCTTTATTAGGTTTGCGCTATTTTAGCTATTTGGCTCATTGCCAAAAAAATCATTTTTCATTTATTTTTGTTCCTGCCTTCATATGAGCGCTAAATATTTTCTCAACAATACAATTTATTGCGTGCTTCTGCGCATGAAGAATAGTTTACATTTTCGTATACTTTGTAGAGAAATTTTCATACAATTTTATCTGAATGCGCTATACCGAATGGCCAAGAATCTTTCAAAGGGACGTCTTCCCGTTTTATTTTAGAAACTAGACCGCGTACGAGCTTATTAACAATAAATACAGTCTCGAACACAATATAGTAATTGTAATTACCTTTCAGGGATCTGATGTAGGATTGCCAGAATTTCGCCTTCTTGCTGGGGGTCTCATTGCGACCGATCATTTCCAAATGGCTTTTAAACATTTTGATCGAATTGTTTTGTGTTTTTCAAGCACAAGAAATATTCGTTGAACTCGTTCGCTGCAAAACGATAAACACACTTTTAAGCATTTTTTGTTTTTGTTCGCTAATATATTTACTCTACGCTACAGTTAGAGGTATTGGAAAATTGTACAATTGTGCACAACTCTTTCTATTTATGTCTTTAAAAGAGCAAATTAGATCTCACGTTTTGTGCCAAAAAATATAAGATCCGCAAAAAGCAGCTGTCACCACACACACGAGCTCTGAGTACATTCTGATTCTTTGCTCACGCGCCATTTTCGTTCAGTTTTCGAAAATAAATAGACAGTGTTCCACTTAGAGAGAGTGCAAAGTTTAAAATTTTTTATTAAATACCTACATACAATATACATACATACATAGGTATATGTATGTACATATGGATATACAGTCGAATGCAGAAGCCAATAGAACAACAAATTTATAACAACAGCACAACAAGATCAATCACTAAAAATAAATTTATTTTTCAAATATACATACGTATGTATATAAGTATGTTGAATATACGCTTAACGAAGCGAGAATATTTTCACACTTTTGATCGCATTGGACAGCTCTATATCTATTTGAAACTAGCAACATCATATATGCATACGGTATATATGTATATATATATATATATATACTTGGATCGGATGTGTGTGTCTATATACGAGTACATAGAAAGAAGTATTAGCGCTAGTGCTGTGTTTAAAGACGTGTGCTGGTGGTAGCTGCAGTTGAATTTGCTTTTGCGTTATTTTTAAACGTCCTTGATTCGAATTCTTTCATCTTAGGCGACAAGTGGCGGGCAAAAGTCAATAATTTTGATTTTTATTGAATTAGAATTGCATGGCAAGTTATTTCAAAATTCAACTATAATGCCCGTTAGTCGTTCTCTTTCGATGTTTCAATTTCTTCATTTTTTCATTTTTTCAATTCTTGAAATTGTGAGTAACCAGGTTTTTCTTTTATTATTTTATAACCATCACAGCACTTTCAATATTTTTCCAAATTTTCTTTTTCATAACTGAAATTCACTTGGGTATCAAATGTCAAAGTTATTGAACTTATATAATCGGCAATATTCATTCATAAGTTCTCATAATTCTCTTCAAAAGGCCAAAATCTTGATGTGACTTGAAAATTTTGAATACGGTGCACTCTTTAACCTTTTAATCCGTTTAATAGTTCAATCGTAATTGTTTATTTATTTCAATTAATTATACATTTATATTATATGTGTGTCTATATACTTTGAGCAATTGTGATGTTTAAATATTTTCGGTTGTCTTACAATTTAATTTACTCCTAAAAAATAGCGATCTATCCTCAACGAAGAATTTTTTCAAACTGCAAACCACTCGAATTTTTCCTGACCAATTTTACTCGTTTCATCGTTTGCCATTTGTTTCAGAACCGCAAAAAGCACGCCATTCCTTACCAGCGGATCGGTGTGTGAGTGAAAAGCTCAATACGATCTGCTATAGATACCAGTATGATGTGTGGGCACTATACTTGTGTATACATAAGAGCTTTTTCCTGTTATTTGGCCAACGATGTGCGGTGGCGATGACGGTGGCAATGGCGATGGCGATGCCAAGTCGAGTTGTTGTTTCTTGCACCCACTCATTGTTGGGGGATTCAAATGGTTACGGCGAGTCATAAAAAGAAAGAAAGCCAGAAATCAGCTCATGTTTTTATGTACCGTACACCCTATCAAGACGAGACTATACTGAAATGACTGAACTCCTATCCATACATATACAATTGACCTTAATTGGGTTCTGTTCAAAGAATCCCATCTGGTATTGGGAAACATGTACACTACCCCCACGTCATTGAATTTGATTTGGTAAGGGAGGACCAGTGCGATGCATGGACTTAGTGGGGACCATAAATATCATAAAACTATCATAAAACCACCAGTACGCCATTTTCAATAAAGGTAACCAATACCATATGACGTCTTTACGTTACCTACAATTCATATTATTTATGGTTTATGCGGAGTTGTTTATATTTTAGTTCCGCGCTAAACTTTTACAAATGGTTAATTGTTCAATCACTGATTTATAAAATTGAGCTGAGAAGCACTATACTTGTATAAAACGAATGTATACTATACTGTATATATACTTTACTATATGTATACTGATGAATCCATCTAAGAGGCAAATAACGCTCAACTTTTCATTTACGAATTATAAGTCAATATTATTTGAGTACTATCAATCAATTTTCTGAACTTTCTATCTCTGGCTTTTTTTCTTTTCTTATAACTTCAATAATTGGGACTCAAAGATCACTTGGTAAAGTTGATTGAGGGAGTCGTTAGCGTTAGTTGGAGTTGGAGTTGTACACAAATCTTGTACAATTCCATTGTTTTTAGAATAGTAGCCCCACTGGAAACAGAGTATAAGATAGTCGGGCTCCCAGCCACTGCCCCCCTTCGTGTTTTATATTTAATAATACGCATATTGCCTTGTCAATTTTTATTTTTCACATTTAAACATTGGCAATAATAGCCATTATATAGAAAATATATATTTATTTTTGGTGCATATTGTTAGTAGATGTATGAGTGCTCGTATGAATGGAAATTACGTCAATTATGATCTTGATTTGATTTGATCAATGATCTTTGCACAGAAAAGAAACAGGAATATGGGTGTGTATGTGTGTATAGGAATAAAAAGTAGGTACACAAATGAATATTTGCATTTAATGAAATAAACATCGGTGCTCTGCTTATATTCCAAAACAAAATTCAATTTAAACAACGCAAATTCCAAAACATTTTAAACAAAATGTGCTCAAAGTATACATTAGCAAAAGGCAATACATTAAATAATCTATATTTATAATGGCAATCAAATGGAAGGTAAATAACATCCCGAGACGAAGGTCACCCTTTGACACTGAACTGACTAAGATTCGGAGGATAGAATGTCCTCCACAAAGGCTTATATCTCAAATCAGGCTGTTAACCTTCTAGTCCCATACATACTCGTATGTATAGTACAATATATATATATGTATGTATTTATTAATGGCAACAGCGTAGGTATTGCAGGTGCAGTATGCAACTATTTGACTTTGTTTGTTTACCTTATGCAATATCTGGCTTTTTTCATTCTCTATAATGCACCTAAAATCTGTAATCGCCGCCGAACTTGAACTTGAACGGACGTGCACGTAAAAAACGAACGAGATTAGTAGCAAGAATTGGCGCATGAAAATGCAGGGTGTTGACCCAAACAAATTCTAAAATGCAATCAAAGCAATTTATTGGGAAATACCTGGCAAAAGGTTCTCTTTGGCACACAATTGTATTAATAGACTAATTAAACTCGCAAAGACTCTTACTTTCTGGCACGTCTCTGCATCCGCAGCTAAATGTACCAAACACTTTTTCCCAAACTATTTTTTTATTGCGCATATACAAAGTTGAAAACAAAAACGAAATTCAGAGATTCCTTTATTAAGTGTGTGTGTATGTCTTTCCAAGGCCATGGGGGGTAATATATTTCAATGAGAAATTGTCATTTTCGATTTCATTGCAGCCATAAAACGGACAAAATTGCCAACACAAGCAATTCCTTAGCTTACATCCCACTCGACAGTATACTTCATACTATACAGGAGGTGGTTAGTTGTATAAAATTAGAAATGATTTACATTTTCGAAAGACGCATTAGCAGGCGGAAAATTCAGAAGCAACATGTAGTTCCTCATCTTTGTGTTTGTGAATTTTGAATAACCTATAAAAATTACCAACTGAGATGTCAACCGAATTTTCAATGAAATCGCCATTTAAAGCCATTAATGACTGATTGAAACATATGCATATACATAACATTTAGTCATGCCATGAAAGCCATTTCGCCCCATTTTCAAGTGCAAGTATGAATGCTATTTGCATCTACTATAAGTATAGTATAGTCTGTACATACATATGTACGGATATATTGCTTTCATTTAACAATAAAAGAAAAGCTCTGCCTTCGCTGACGCATATCATGCGAGACTACAAATCGCCAGCGCCTATATATGTACATATATTTAACCTTAACATATAGCAGCCACCTTCACTGCGCAAAAAAACATAAAATTAAATACATTTTCTCAAAATACAAAAATAAACATACACACATGTGTGTGTGTATGTGTGCGTGTCGGATGTACGAGTATATCTGGGATATACATTCATACGTATTTAGTCCACAATACGCGTATCTTATAGCGTTCTATGGTCTCGGCTAGATTCCAATGCCTCAATGGTTCATGGCTGCTGAGACTGTTTGGATAATGGGCCCTCTACTCGCAGTTCTTGTCTCCATTTGTATGTCACACATGCGAATGAACCTGAAATCTAAAATACTGCTTCAGGGTGCTGTAATTCTTAATAGTTGTAATCCTATACGGTCCCCACATACATAGGTAGACTACTACCACATACTACAAGTATACATATGTATGTACGGTGTGCTTGCATGTGGGAGAGCATTTGGAATTTGTTTAATTTTCAGTTTCTTGTTTATATGCAAATTGTGCCAGGAAACGTCTGTTGGGGGAGTAATTAATTTTATGCTTGTTTTTGAATATGCCGCGGTGTTGCGGTGTTTACTTTCGCACTTCAAACAAAGGAATTACGTAGACATCGAGTACATTAATACCAAGCGATTTTAAACAAATTTTTCCGGAACTACCTGAATTGTACACATTATGATTTCCACCAGCTTTCTTTTTTATTTTTATTATCATACATTTCATACCAGATATAAATGACAGCAGATCTCTTAAAAGTCGAATGCCTATATTACAGTATATACTATATTTGCGATCGAACTAATAAAAACATTCAAGGTTTTTCAAATACGAACAAATAAAAGAGAATTTAAATTAAAATAAGTTAATAATTGATGGTTCGGATAAAATTTAGATAATAATCTACTATGAACTTCATAATGAAAAAAGGACAACGCATCCATTTGAAAAGAATATCAAATGTTAAAAATACAAGTATAACAAAAAACAGATATTAGGTTAACGTTTACACTACTTAAACTAACCAAATACGTTATTAATTGATTGAGATCGGATGAAGACGCTGACCATTTTCGGTCAATTTCGAAATTAGCTGCAAGAAGCAGTTGAGTTCCTTATATTGTCTTTTGGTTTAGGTACAGAACTTAGCTTTAAGTCATAATTATAAAGATCCTTTAAAAAAATTCTGGATTACGCAGCAAGAAATTCGAAATTTGTTTTTTCATGTTCTAAATGATTTGCATGGGGCAGTGTACATTTAATATCAATTAAATAACCTAGAAAACAACATTTTAATGATTTTGATAGCTTTAATTTCGATATTTACATTTTGAATCGACTTTTGTACATATGTGGCGTTTGAATATGACTTGCAGGCTGTCAGAAAATCAAATGATGTCAGCAAATTAAATATGAACATTGCATTGTCCTCCATTTTAATTCTTCAATTGTGCAGGGGGTGTTTTCTATTCAGCGTCCTTAAGTATCGCTCCAATACTAATAGTATGGTACATAAATCGAAATAATTATTTTCGAGAGGTTTGTAAATGCCAGGACTGAGAATTTGAGATTTTGAAAAAGTTGGGTTAAAGTCTTACCGAGAAACCTTTATATCGTAATACCATTTATCAAATTTTATTATGAGTCATTTCTGATTTTCTTCTTCGCATCAAAATTTAAGAAAGAACCATGCATCCCGGAAATAAATAAGCCTATGTTTTCATTAAGCAATGAGAATTATTTTCAGAGGATATGGAATGGGTAAAATGAAAAAATAATAAACTTTTCAATTTTTCCTAACTTCCACACAATCTATAAAAGTATGTAAACAGTCGAAAGTCATTAATCCACATTAAAAGTTCAAAGCACTTAGATCTTTTCAGCATGCATCCGAAACCTTTCATTTCTGAAAAGGTAATAAGTCCAAAAAAGCAAAGTGCTGCACAGATAAATTAAAAGAAAATAGTATAATCTGTGGGAGCACTTCCAGTTACAAATAAAAAATACAAATAATGCATTTGCAAAGCACTGTGTTTTTCCCTAATACCTGTATGTCTCCATTCGTTATGTCCATACGATACACACAAATAGCGCGGGTGATAGTCATCCATTTATTTGAAACTCTTATTTTAATCTTTTCATCATCATCGTGTCTATAGATCTGAAACTCCATTATTAGTAGTTTGTTCTGTTCCCATTTGCACATCTGAGCTTTCACGGTCATTCAACAATCATTAGGCAGGATAAATTGGCTGCGCCCAGTAATAAGTACATCAAAAGATGTAAGATCAGTCAGAATCACTCACTCGGATCCGTTCAAACGTTCTTCATATACTATACATAAGTACTATATATGGGAATTCTGCTGGCTGTCATCAATTCTAACTTCGAGCACTGTCTCGCAGAATTGGAAACCATTACAGCTTTGGCCTATTTGGATTTCAAAATGTGTACAACTTTCTCAAATAACTGTTAAAAGTCAGGTTAAATAGCCGGACTACCCTTTTTTTACAAAAATAAAAAAAAGAATAATAATCAGCATAACATTCATAATACCCACAAGAGCTGAAAAGCCTACACAATTTATAGAAATGCAATGAAGCAAAGCCCATAAGTAGAGTGCAAACGCAAATAAGTAGAGTGCTTTATTTCATAAATTTGTGATTTGGTCGTTGGTTGTTTGTGCTTTGCATAATTTCCGTACAATTTTTATGATTGGCCAAGGAGAATTTATGAACTTACAGCTTCAACGAACAAGGGGAAATTCAAAATAAATATGTTGATGACAACCGAATTGGATACAAAGCACATATTTGAATGCTTATAAGTAAGTAAAAGTAATGGATATTTGTGGCTGGTTGCTCTCACAATGTACACGTATACTGTTGAGTAAAGGCGGATGTTTAGTTGGTTGATTGTCATCTGCCTGAATGTGACCTTAGGTATTAAAAATGTCAGCTCCATCGTCTGCGCAAATCATGGCATTTGCTTCCACATCGTCATATTGTTCGTAAGTACTTGAATTCATAATTTAATTTCTCTGCGGCCAGCTTGGCGTTGTTTTTATGTGTCGTGGGCCATGCGTTTTAAATATATTGCTCGTGTCAGAGATTTGAGGGCGTTGGCAGCTTATTTGCATGCTATTTGTTATTTAGAGCTGCAGCTGCTGGCTCAGCATATCGTCGCCTTACCCTTGAGATAGCTGCAAGCGGGATGCACTCAATTTGCAGTCAGTGTTAGTTATAGTTATGCAATACCAGTATGTGGGATATGCGAGAATATACTATAAGGGAACACAAACGCAACTCTTGGTCACGTTAAATGGAATGGAAGTGTAGGATGCTGGAGCTCCACTCGATATGTGCATGTAAAATGAGGCCAAACCATTTATTATGCAGAGTTGCAACGTCTTCCTTCCATCCAGTTGAGTGCCTGACACTTAATTGCATTGCAGAACCTTTGAATACAATTTGATTTGCGTTCCTTTTAATGTCAATACCTTTGCAATTAGCACGGGCATACTGGTAGGACGTTCCATTCTATTCTATCTTCTCTACTTGCTTACGCACGAATGTGCTCCGCAAGCAAAGGAGCTTGAATTTCAATACTTGGGGCAATGCAATAAATTTGTATTGTCCGGCAGAAGTTCGCACATTTGCCCTGCGTATAAATAAATTGGTTTCTATTAATTACCAGCCTTGGTTGCAAGCTACATGCAATAAGAATGCAGATTGCTTTAAATTCTCAGCAACTATTCGTTCGAATTAGAACTGTGGCATTAAAAAGTTGAATAAACAAGAAAGAGTTACAGTCCACCAAGCCCGACAGTGAAACACCCTGTTCCCCACCCTGTCCAACTAATCATTTTATTTAATAATTTAATTTTATTGAAATTCAAAACAACCGGTGGAGGGTTGATAAAAAACAAGATAGAATAAACTAGTGTTGCCTATGGACTATGAGAATCTATTTACCAAGTTTGGTCAATATGGGTTTAGTCGTCGTACAGCTTAAGAGCCTAAAAAAGGATTGTATTGTGAATGTGATTACGCTTTTTATTCCGTATACGGTATACCCGTAGGGTAACAGGCATATGGAGTCAGGCTCTATATTATGGGTACATCAGCATACTATAATATGACTTGCTTAAATCTATGTTGTTCATAAAGATATTTAAGCTAATTTGGATGTGAAGAAGTTTCAATAACGCCTCATTACAACCTGAAGTTATATCAATATCCGTGCACTATATGGTGAAAGTTGCAATAAGATTGATTGGTACAGCAAAGTTTATTTTAGTTGTAAAGCTGTCTGGGGGAAAAGGGTAGGAAAAGGGTATTCAAGAGAGACTTGACGACTTTAACTTTCTACTAGTTATATCTCGGATTCATATAGGCCGAATCAGAAGGTGTCTTTCTCACCTCTCATTTCAGTAATGAAGAACGATTATATTACATACTATAATATGCCGAAGCTCTTCTTAGTAGGTAATATAATACCCTATGGATGGTAAAAATCGCCTTAATATATGCATACATGCTACATATATACTATATATAATTACCTAGAACAAGAACAAGAATCTTCCACAAAAAATATTTTTTTTAATTAAATTAATTAAATAAAGAAACAAAAACAGAAAAAACACCACAAACTTTCCTTTGTCGGATCTAGGAGTACCTGAATACTATAGTAAGATTCTCATGCCCATATACTTATACTCTGATCAACAATCCGACTATGTGTTACCTATACGCTTTGGGTATAGGGTCTTTAAATGCCCAAATAGTTCGTTTTATATATACTATATACTCGAATGCCTCAGTGGTCTCTCTACTTCGCTTATATCAAAATGCATTGTATCGCATTTATTACAAATTTCCATGGCGCATTTCTGCCATTTAGGCTGTGAATATTGATTTAAACTAAACTTGTTGACAAATTAATGCTGTAGCATCAAAAGAGGCAGCGATATTGGCACCTTCGCGGGCAGAAAAAAAAAACAAAAATAAAAATCGCCAATTACCTGGCACATTCAAAATTTGGGCCAGTGAGGCGTTGGGAGCTCTCAGATGATTTAGGCACGACCATGTCACTAGTTACGAATGGAAAGTAAGTCTATATGGTGCTTAATATTTGGATTAGACGATTACAAAATTTCAATAAATATTAATACTATAATGTTTGAAAGTATAAAAAAATAGATTCGCTTTATTTTGGGATTTGTGGCACAATGAGAAGCCATTAACTAAAGTATGTGCTATTACTAAAAATATACAAGTACGACGTCGGTTTAAAATTACACAAAAAACATCATTACGACACCCTCAAATAAAATTCAATATACTTTGTGTTTCTTAGTGTTTCAGGCACCCTTTACATAGTCCAACTTTCTATATAGAAGGTTGACACTTCAAATTAAAGTAAAATAGAGTGTTATTAAAACCAAATAAATTTCTCCATCATTGTAGTCGACAGGCTAGAACTGTTGCATTTGGAGCTACACATATAGGACATGAGGTTTTCTAAGTCCGTATTAGAAGACTTTAGGAAGGAGCACCATACCGAATTAGCATACAAATTTTTATCCAAATAATCACCCCACAAACAAATTAAATAAGGAGTTGAAAAATGTAGCCTGTTTAATATTAATATTTACAAGTATGATATAGGTCTCATAATTAAACCCCTACTATTTCTGTGGTACCTCGCCAAAATTCCACTAATTGTTGTAACGTTACATTGAACCGCCATATGAAAAATTAAGATAGCTTCGAAAACCTAGAAGTAATTGTAGTTAAATCATCAAATCATAGTGGTCCTCTCAGGCTGGTTTCGAAAAATGGTATTTGGCATTTAAGCCAAAGACTAAAGATACTTTTCAAATATTTAAAGTATATTTTGATATTCTACCTCTTCACTGGAATGAAAGATTTTCACTTATTTTATCATGTCCGAGTCTTTGAAGCTACTGCCCTTTAACGTAATTCTTTAAAGGTACGAGGTCTTTCAATTCAATTGGATATTTTTAATGATAACGTCATATCGGTATAAATGTCAAACAAGAACTCTTGAAATACTCAATAATAATTAATTGAACTCCATGGTCACTACTCTGGACAATCATTTAAATGTACTTGTAATGAATATTAAATGATTGAATTTGAATATAACAACACAAAAATGTGTTGGAATTAAATCAGTGAAGAAAAGCCCGAAACCCATTACCCTAATTCAAGCTAAATGTATTAACAACCATCACTCAGCTAATGCCTAACAATTCATTTTTCCCTTAATTACTAGGCAAACACGTCTTTAATGCCACAAAAGGGAGTCTTTGTCATGTGCCAAGTGCCGTCCAATTAAAAGAGTGTGGCATCCAGCAAAGACCACCCAAAGGAAACTGAACAGCAGAAGGACCCACAGCACTCACAAAAAGCGGCCTTGACAAAATGTATGGCCTGCTGCTGGAGAATCTCTCGGAATACATTAAGTCTGTGTATGGTGAGGAGAAATGGGAGGACATTCGCCGACAGGCGGGCATAGACTCGCCATCATTCAGCGTCCATCAAGTGTATCCAGAGAATTTGTTGCAGAAACTGGCCAAAAAGGCACAGCAGGTGGGTAGACACTCCCACCGCCCTGCGTATTTAACGATTCGCATTAGCATGTGTTGTAACCGAATCCTTTTCGCAGGTGTTGGGCGTTTCAGAGCGTGAGTTCATGGACCAAATGGGAGTGTATTTTGTGGGCTTTGTCGGTCAGTATGGCTACGATCGGGTGCTATCTGTTTTGGGTCGCCATATGCGTGACTTTCTCAACGGTCTGGACAATCTGCACGAGTATCTTAAGTTTTCTTATCCACGTATGCGCGCCCCAAGCTTTATATGCGAAAATGAGACGAAGCAGGGACTTACTTTGCATTATCGGTCGAAAAGGCGAGGCTTTGTCTTCTATACCATGGGACAAATACGCGAAGTGGCTCGCTATTTCTACAATAAGGAGATGCATATTGAGCTAGTACGTGAGGAAATTCTCTTCGATACGGTCCATGTGACCTTTCAGCTGACCTTCGATAATCGTGCGTTTACCCTCGCATCGCTGGCTATGACCCGGGAGGAGAAGCATTTGCCCATTAGTGCTCACGTGTTATTCGAAATATTCCCCTTCTGCATTGTTTTCGGGTTAGTAATTGGTTTCGATGTAACTCCACAGCAGTTCTAGCCAACTTTTTCGTTTTAAGTGCCGATATGGTTGTTGGAAGTATCGGAAACTCATTGATGGTCATATTGCCGGAGTTGCTGGGCAAGAAAATAACGGCATGGTTTGATTTGGTGCGTCCCTTAATTGCATTCAAATTTCAAACAGTAAGTTTACACATTATCTAAGTCCGGTGAAAAGCATTTAATTCAACTTCTAATAAGATCCTCAATCGGACAAACAACATATTCGAGTTGGTTACCGTGGATCCAGTGACGGATCGGATTGATGCCCAAAATGAGGATTTACTATTACACGATGATGGCAGTGAGCCAGAAAAATCATTGCGACTTAAAGGTAAGTAATATATTGATTAAAAATAAGACAATTCTAACGATCGATCGCAGGCCAAATGGTTTATATGGAAAATTGGCGGATGATCATGTTTTTGGGCACACCAGTCATGCCGGATCTGACCTCACTTATCACCACGGGTCTCTATATAAACGATTTATCCATGCACGACTTCAGCAGGTGAACCAAATTCTATTAGAAACCCCAAGTCCTATCTACTAAGTCTCCCCTCAGAGATCTCATGTTGGCGGGTACACAACAATCAGTGGAACTCAAACTAGCTCTGGATCAGGAACAGCAGAAATCCAAAAAGCTCGAGGAGTCCATGCGCAAACTGGATGAAGAAATGCGACGCACCGATGAGTTATTGTACCAGATGATACCCAAACAAGTGGCCGATCGCCTGAGACGTGGCGAGAATCCGATAGATACCTGTGAGGTAATTAAGTGGTCCTAACCGAAAAAAGTTCCCGAAAATTAATAATCATTATTTCAGATGTTTGACAGCGTTTCAATCTTGTTCTCAGACATTGTGACCTTTACTGAAATTTGCAGTCGCATAACCCCAATGGAGGTTCGTCTGTTGGTGTTGCTTTCTGTAAACAGAATTACATCTAAGGTATCCAATGAAAATATTTATATTTCAGGTAGTTTCCATGCTGAATGCTATGTACTCTATTTTTGATAAACTGACTGAGCGCAATGCCGTTTACAAGGTAGGTTTGCAAGAATACCTAAACATCTGAATAAATTCTCCTTTAATTTGCGTAGGTTGAAACCATCGGAGATGCGTACATGGTTGTTGCCGGAGCGCCAGATAAGGATGCCAATCATGCCGAAAAAGTTTGTGATATGGCTCTGGATATGGTCGATGCGATAACTGATCTGAAGGACCCCTCAACGGGTCAGCACTTGCGCATACGCGTGGGCGTACACTCGGGCGCGGTTGTCGCAGGTATTGTTGGCCTTAAGATGCCTCGATACTGTCTGTTTGGCGACACTGTGAATACGGCATCACGTATGGAGTCCACCAGCATAGCAATGAGAGTGCATATATCAGAGTTCACCAAAGTACTCATAGGCCCCAACTACCTAATATCTGATCGTGGAGAGATCGACGTAAAGGGCAAGGGCACGATGAAAACCTATTGGCTGGAGGAACGCGAGGGTCGTCTACCACTTCAAATGTCCGCTGCACTGTATCCCATGTCGGGCACATTTGCTGTCAGTTCTGTTCCAGCCACGCCAACAGGCAAGCCTATTATGCCGGCACCAAAAGGGGTTAACCCAGCGACCACATCCACCGAGCCAGCCATGACGACAGTAGTGACAGCTGCCGTGAAATCTGCTCATACCGCTACAGTCAGCGATGAAAGAAGCAGCCGTATCTATTCACCGGTCACCTTTAAGGACGTGGCCCGTCGAAGCATTGCCAATTCGCCGGTGCGTGGCGACACTTGTGAAAAGCGCCGGGAGTCACGATCCAATTCGACAGGCCACGTTTTTTCTCGGTCACCCAGTGATATTTTCGGATCACTTATTCTAGACACCGAAGAGTTTCTCGAGGATTTGCAAATATCACGAGGATCGCTGACCAACAACAATAATCCGCCACCAGATGCCTTCAGTCCGACTCCACCTTTTCGCATTGGCAGTGCGCCGTCGAAGCCTAGATCGAGCAACCCCGACCAGTTTACCCCCGAAGAGCTGGCAGCTATGGATCAGCTTACCCCGCCCTCTACTGCGCCTGCTCGAGAATCGGCCACATGTAGCGGTAGCTTAAAGCCGTCCACCTCGAGCGCCTCTCTGGATAAGAACAAGTCGAGGTGAGACTGCAAAGTAATAGAATAGGTGTTCCTAGCTCTTCCATGACAAGACTCATTTATTTTGGAACTTAGATTATAATTTGCACTGTCGCTTTAAATTAAAGAATCAAAAAATAAAGCTTCGATCCATTTACCATCACATGAAATAGAGGTCGTTAACTCCTTTGTTTGCTTTCTAGAAAAATTACCTTTTCGACTAGTACTACAGTAGAGGCTGGGAGCACACCTACGGCATCTGTAATCAACACAGCAGTGGCACCTGCCCTGCCTTTAGGCTGTCCCATGGGATCGGGTTCGCCGTCGAACATAATTAAAGCCATAGCTCAGGTCCCTATTAACAGCAACAGTCGACCCAGCTCCAAGGATTCCATGACGTCCATTTCGTTACATTCTCCACCACCAGTGCGGGCTACATCCGCGCCAGCACCAATGTCCAAGGCAGCACGCAAGGCTTTCCTTGCCGCAAAACAGACCAAGGCTATGGAGAAATTGGATAAGATGATCGAAGAGGCACAGGAAGTGGAGTCTCAGCCGGGAGCCAAATCGGCTAACATGCGGACGTCTTTTTTTCCCCCAGGCGACGCAGATCTGTCCGTAGGTGGATGTCCTCTCTTCTTGCCGCCACCGCCTCAGTCATCCTCTACACGAGCCCTAATACCAAGTTCCATATCCGACAACAGCATATGTAATCACGGGTAAGTGGAAGCAACCGTTCATCCGACGGTCAATTCTTACATATTCCTCCACAGGCACAGTCATGCCCCGAACTGTCATCACGCGCTCCATGTATCGAAACTGAGCAATAGTCAGAGTTTCACGCACTCACGTGCCTCGGGCCCCATCACGCACCAGTGCTGCAGCGGATTCGGCCACTCCAATGGGCGTCATTCGCATCGCATGCACTCCAATGCTTGTCGAATATTGTAAGACTTGCTCAGATTGTCTTTTGCTCAATATTCTACTACTTGTGCTTCTGTTGTCTTTGGAATGCATAAATAAGCAATTATTAGAACTTAGGCCGGCCTAAAATTAGTAAAATAGTGAATTCGTTGAGGTTTGTTTATGCGGTAAATGGATCGCCGGACCCCATAAATGTACATACTTTTACTTAGAGACAAGATTTAAAATTTCTGTGTAACTCAACATTGACAATACCACCAGCAAATACAAATATTTAATCCTGTGCTGAGCATATCAGTTAATATCTGGAACCACCAAATACATATTTACACTATTTAAAAAATAAACAAGCAAAAAATACAAATGCCTGGGACGAAGGACCTGTAATTATGTAATTAAATGGATGAAACGAATTTCCATTAGACCAATTATTCTTTGACAGTGTATAGGATATTATAAATATGTTACTCCAAATATTCTTGACATCCGGTGTTCGGCTACTACATAACAGTAGCTCTACATATCGATTTGCTTGAGAAACAAAATAAAATGTGCCCTATTTTGCTTTTCGGCATCATCTAAGTGTCTCATTGAGATCCATTACAGCCAATAAAAAGCTCTTATTTGGTGTAAAATACATACATATGTAGGTCTGTTGTCCATGGTGATATACATATGTACAATTCATATAAATGTATTTAGTGTTTAGTTAATATGTATATGTAGTAGTAAGTAGAGCGATATAAAGTAAAGCTTCAGCAATTTATTTTTTTAAACAGAACATTAAAAAGAGAGATCAAATTAAACGAAATATCCGTATAAGTAATTATTTATAGTCAACATGGTGTTAACCCACAAACTCAAGCCTGCTAGGGAGATCATGTTTAAATGACAGTTCGTTTAGTCTAGTTTATAATCAAAGTGTTCTGGATTTAAAATTCTATTCAACAAAAATATAATTTCATTGAATGATGTACAACGTATTAAATGCAACAAATGTCTTTCTTATTTGAACTGTACTTTTTACTTGTATGAGAGCTTGCCGTTAAGCTTCACAATTATTAAAATAGTATTATTTAATTTAATTTAGCCTGTTTGCGTACAAATCTGCTGCTAAGTACATTGCACAATTGCATATCACATCAAAATAATTGCAAGCATAAGCATGTGTGTATTATATTATAACTAAAAATATTCAAATATATATGTATATGTTTATGTTTAAAGCGTAGCTGTTTGTTTTTCACAATGAGATTCAACAATGACTAGATTTTTGGTATAAGATTAGACTTCGGTGGGTTTCCTTCAACCGCGCTCGATCATTGGTGTTGGCACCACTTCGTCATTTGAGTAGATCAGCGTGCCGTCCACTGTTTCTATAGTTTGTATCGTTGTTTTACAATAGAAACAGACTTTGGAATTCATCATGTGCTGCATGATGCAATCACTGCAGGACTGGTGCTTGCAGGGTGTAAATACGGCAGTAATGGGTTTAGCGCAACAAATCGGACAGAGCGAGTCCTCCGATGGCAGTGTAATATCCGAGAGCAATGCCTGCTTAATGCGCAAATTCTCGATCAACCGGCGAACTTCCTCAATCTCTTCGGTTGATACATGGGTGGGAACTATAATAGGAAGAATAATTGAGTTGCTGAGAATTTAATTTCTGTTAAATACCCACAGTCACTAAGCGCAAACTTTATAATAGGTGGATCGGCGCGTATTCGCTTCGAATTGTTAGGAAGAGGCACGCGCACATCGTTCGTCAATGGGTCAATGTGTGGACGCGCTGAGGGATCAAAATTGCCACGCGGTATGTCTTTCAGTTCCAGCAATGGTGTGTGTATCTCGCCCAAGGCAAACTCCAATGTGGCAAACTGAAAACTGGGGTCGGTGAGAAAGGCGCGCGATACGCGGGTCACCTTCTGTGGCAACTGGTCATTGTCCATTTCACTGCGCATCAAAGCTAACAATATTCCCAGTGATGCTGTTATTATCGGAAAATGTGTCACTGCATTTAAATCCGCTGAACACATGTCCACGACGAATTGGAAACAACCCGGAGGAACGGTTACCCTCGACAGCACTTGACTAATAAGCTGGCAAATACGATTTAGCAACAGGTCGCTGTTAGGTCGCGAAGCATCGGTGACGATTTCAGGTGAGACAGTTATAATCATCTCCAGGCAGCGCATCAACGAAACGGTAAGCTCAAAACACATAGAGCAGATCTTCAGTTGTTTGGGTTCGAAGAGGGTGTTCTCCTGACGCTGTGCCGTGTTCTGTATCTGTAGGAAAGATTAGAAATTTAAGGAGTTGAATTGCTTTATTTAAGATCGAGAAAATAAATTTACCTCCTGCAGCAGCAGAATGAACTCCGAAAACGCCCAATTCAGCTGACTGAGGACCGAGTTAAGAAACGTGGTAGCAAACGGTTCTTCTTCCATTAGTTTAGCTCCAAGTAAACGTTGAAAATGCTTCGAGGGATTGGCGGGCGCTACGTTATGCAACAATCCAGTGTGCGTTTCATTGCGCGATCGACTACGACACAAACCCTGATGCAGCGGCTGTGTGCCACCCTGCCACACGCTGGGTTGACGTGCATCTTTATAGGCGAAGCCCTCCCCTAACCAAAAGCGCAGCAACAGCCAATTACTCTGTCCCCAGGCCCGATTTTCATACGGTCTTAGGAGGGCTCGTACGAAGGTCACCTGGGCACGCTTCGAGGAACGTTCCAAAGCGCGTACCCCGGATTTGTGGCAGGTGAGCGTCCCTAAAGCTTGCAGCAAAGAATCTTTGCAAGATGCCAAAACGATTCGTGAATCCGCCGAGTGTAGGGCCAAGAACTCGGCAGCGGCATTTATGCTACACTCGGCATCTGTGAAGATAAACTTTTTAATAAGAGAACAAAATTTAGGTCTATGGTCTACCTGTGACTTCGAATTGCGCACGCAAATCGTGATGGGTAAAATCCATGACAGCATCTAGTAATATAGGTAGCGTATTCAAGTAGACCTCAGGTACAAAGGAAAACAGTGGGCCGGTGGCCGAGGCGCTCTAGTTATTTTAAAATAAACAAAATAAAAGTTATAAATATAATTAAGTATAAAAACTCTCTATTAGCTATTCTACAACCTTAAAAAAACATAATTTTTTTGCCAATTGTGCGTTCTTGAATTTTGTTAGATTTTGAAACCGAAATATTGTGAGGATATGATCAAATAAATAGGCACATACTATGCACGTTAGGTTTAAAGCGGTACAAATTATTGATTATTGATTTTAAATGACATATAACATATTGTTCATATTCAAAGTAGCATACAGACTTATAAGCTCATCTTCTGTCATCTATGCATACCTAGTAGTAATAAATTTGGTTCAGAAAGCTTTAAAGACAATTTTATTATTTCACAAGCTAACTTTAAAGTGAGGCTCTAGTTGTAATGTTTTTTACGCTTCCGTTTAGGTTACTAATTTTTAGTAAAAATTACATTGGTACATTGGTATATAATATAATGGTACCCGCAAGTTTTGTGGGGATACCGTGGCAAGCTCATTATGAATCGAATGTACTTTATGTCTCGGACAGTACTAATATAAGATACATTTGAAGCAATCTAGTCTACCCTTTACTCTCGAAGAATAACGTCTCACATAAAGTTAAGCTCACCGTCAAGGTCCGCAGCATGCGCTCCAGCAGCCATATAAGAAGTGAACGCCTATGATTGTTTAGAGCCACTCCACGAAGCCAAATTTGCTTGCGGGCCAAAGATATAGAACGAGTCTTTACAGCAGAGAGGAAGAGATATATAGGGAGTTTACATATTCTATTTTTAAAAGCTGATAGATTCTTACTGCAAACACATTCTGACGCTGACTAAATTTAGATCGCAGCTCTGCCATAACATGCGTGTGATTCTCATTCATACAGACATTTGCATGTTCCTCCAGGGCCACCAGTTTACGCTCGATGTCTTCACGGTAGTATTTCGTCTCTTTCAGCACCTCATTTAGGGCAGCAATCTCATCACGCACCGATGATATTTTCACTATATATTTGTGACCCGCCGAGTAGTAGAAGATTATACAAACATCCAGCAGCTCGCACAGACTTATCTCGGTATCGATATTGCCCGTTCCTACCTCAGAATTTGGCATGAGTCGTGGGTTGAGAAAGTGCGTGAAAGTCGTGTTGTTGCTACCTTGTGTGTGTCCAATTACTGCCACGTTGTTAATGTTCTCGCCAAGCAGGTACAGTGTAGTATCTGAAGAGGCCTGATAATTGATTCCATTGTTACCCAAGAGCCGTATCGCATTCTATACATACCTACTTCGTTCACACGCATTACATTGCGATCTTCATCGTAAATTTGCTGGGCCCGTGACGCTCCCAACCGTGAGTCGATATCGGGGCGATGTACTTTTCTCAAATGAGATAGCACGCCGCCGACACGATCAAAATGCATGTAGTCGAAGGTGCCGTCGTAGAAGTAATCTGGATTTACTTCGACATTCTTGCCAGGCAGCTCATCCTTAAAGAGTGTCCGCACTTGATCGATTAATATGCAGACAAATGCAAGAGCCACAGGAGCATCTAACGGATGCTGTATGCTCGATTGCATGAAGAAGAAAGCATGGAAGGGCTGTTGAAATATAAGAATATGGGATTAGTAGAATCTACTAAGGAGCACTTAACTCTCGCCTACCCGTTGCTCCATACTCAAATCGATGACATAGCGACGCATTTTAGTAAGAAACAGCTTACGACTAGAGGGACTGTCCGCAGTGCCATCGGTGTTGGTCATTAGTGTGGTTAAAAAGTCCTTCTGTGCTGCATACAAAGCTTCCGTCACTTTTCGCACTTTTTCTGCAACGCTCAAATATTTGTCTTTCGGTCCATCGATGCCTTCTGTCCATGCCATGTAATCGGGCAAAAGCTCCTGCATTATATAAAACTCCAGCGGATGTATATAGAGAAAAAATGCGAGGCTGCGAAAAGGATATTAATATAAAATTTGACACCTAAATTGAACCAATACTAACCAATGTTTTTTAAAAAGTTTAGCTTCTAACAAGTACTTTCTGGTCTGCTCATGCAGGCACAGGCAATGTAATACACTGAGCGCCTGACGATGCTTCTCATAGTCCAGGCCCTGTATTGTATGCGTAAATGTGGCTAAAAGCGCATTAACCATTTTTCGCAAAACAAACTTAATTTCATCAGCCTCCATGAAATTCCAGAAGAGCGATAACAGACCCATTAGTGTACTGTTGGGATTCTCTTTTTCGGCAGGCAGTGAAGTCATGTAGGAAATACGCCCGAGTAAAACATCCTCAATAATGTATGGATCGAATATTTCCTGAGTGAAACGCTCAATGAGGAGCGTTGCAAAAATACAATAGACTGTTTTCTTTGTAGAAACGCGTACTTCGTTCATCTGCAGGGGTCCAGATTGGGACCGCGTTTGTGCAATGTAATGCGAGAATATGCCCGCCAAATTGATCAAATAGTTCATAAGCAGGTTCGCACGACGCAACTTGAGGATAGGACGTGCCATTAATGGCTGAAATCCAGCAATTGGATAAACAAACGGACGATTGCCAAAGTTTGCCTGAATCCCCTGCGTATAGCCTAGCGAAACAGCGGCATAGAATGTAACACCTGGTGCTCTCTCCAGTTTGCTGAAAGCAATGCCCATAGAACGACCATTGCGATAATATTCAATGACCTCACGATCCACATCAATAGTAACGCCTATGATGTCGCCTATTTGCCATTTGTCCCCATATCTGTGGAGGAAATATGCTACATTAAATTTCATTAAATATGCAACCTAATACTCACTTTTTTGTTGATATATGCCACACTTGTTGCTTGCTGCCGTCATAGCCATAGCTATACTTCGTATCACCCACTCCACTGTTTTCGTTGAAAGTACAGCCATTAGATGCCCAACCGATTTGCATAACACCTTTCGTGTGTAAATGGACCTATAAAGTAAATAAGGGCACATTAAATGTTGTAGTATGTAGCGTACCTATCGTCAATATTCAGGGCCATTGGCCGGCAACCACCCACCCATTTAATATGATTACCTCATACATCCAGCGACCTCCATAAACACAGCAATTTGAGCGCACTGTGTTGAAACTGCCTTGAGAACGCAAGGCCAATCTGTCCGTGGACACACGCACTGTTGTCGTATAGTCCACATCGAATATCGTCAAATCGGGACCAACCCGCTGCTCTGTCTCCGCATAAAGCTTACGAATTTCGTCATTGCTGTCCGTTTGTATCTGTTGAAACTTGTCATCCAGCCAACTCCTCACAATGGTCATTTGCCTGCGGACGAGATTGGTATAAATAAGAGGCAGCATCATTATTAATGTCTCACTCACTTTGTCACCGACAATTCATCTATCCGAGGAGGCTTTGGATCCGTCACATTGGCACATGTCCCACCCTCCAGGTCATCAACCAGTTCCGTGTTCTCTTGTTCCAACTGCTCAAATATGTCTTCGTTGAACACTTTCACGAATAATTTTGAGATAGACATCTTGGCGCAAGCATTTATGAATAAGTTGCTATTAAAACATTGCTTACTTAATACATAAAATAACAAACTAAGAGCATTTTTGAAAACAAGTTTTTGGTTTATTTCAGCTCATGCAATGCTGCCAGCCGGCCTAATCGATTGGTGGTCCTGCCCAATCGGTTGAAAGCAATGCCAAATGGCAGCGCTAGTCGTCAGTGCTGCCAGTATGGACTCTTATTTTTTGTGTTTTAGGGGCACACTTTATTGTAGACGTTGCATTGCACTTGTAAACAATATTATTGCAAAAAAGAAAGATGGGTAGTGACTGGGATGAAATAAAACGTCTGGCTGCCGACTTCCAAAAGGCGCAGCTCACGTCCACCCTACAGAAGTAAGTGTCGCCCACACCAACATTACTTCAGAATCACAAATTATGCCTACATCTTATCCCTTGTAAGGCTATCTGAACGCAACTGCGTTGAAATAGTCACGTTGCTTTTACAGAAACAGCTGCTTGAAGTAGTATTTACTAACGATGGCAAGGAATATATAACGCCCGAGCAGCTGGAGCGTGAAATTCTGGACGAACTTTATTTGAACGGTGGCCGTGTAAATTTGGTGGAAGTCAGCAAAGCTCTCACCGTTGACCTATCCCGGATTGTGGCACTATCGGAACATATTGCGACAGAGAACCCTCACCTCCACTTCATTCTAGGTCAGCTTATAGATGAGGACTATATCACGCATATAGCGCAGGAAATTAACGAAAAGCTTGCTCAACGTGGCGAAATTTCCATATCCGATCTGACGTCACAATTCGATTTGCCATCTGACTTTCTGCTGCATGACGTAGTGGAGAAACACTTAGGCAAAATAATCAAGGGCCGTCAGGATGCGACAAATCCGCGCGTCTTCTTTACACAGGCATACATTCAGCGCAGCAAGGCGAAAATTCGTGGTGCATTAGCCGCCATTACCCAGCCCACAAACGTGGCAACTATATTGCAGCAAATCAATGTGCAGGAGAAAATCTTCCACTCGCTGTTAGACGAGATAGTTCCCGCTGGCCAGGTTACGTCCAAACTGACCAATGCTCAATATGTGCCACACATTTACGCCAAGACACAAGCGGATTGGGTCAATTCTTTTTACAAGCAAAACAGCTTTCTGGAATACGATGCCATTAACAAGCTGGGCATTACTGATGCCAAACAATATATACGCAAGCAATTTCCGAACGAGGAATTTCTTTTCCTTAAGCGTGTGGCGCTTGGGGCACGTCTAATTGAGTTGACGGTCGTGACAGCCCTCAATGAATGTAGTGCAACCAAAAACTATCTGGATTTGTCTACGACCCTGCCGTCCAATTTGTCCAACGACGATATTGAGGAGGTGTTCAACGTTATAATGGGTCAAAAACATACGAATCCCAGTAACTTCGTATACCTCGAGAGCATTGGTGAGCTTATCCGTGCGGTTATTGCAATTATTTTATGAATTGTTCCAATTGTTTTGCTTACCAGTTTTCTCACAACCGTACCTTACTCAATTGATGGAACCTTGCTTCGGAATGGCTCATGTGCAGGCCAAGGCAGCAATTGATAACGGTGTCTATCAGCAATTCATAGTAGAGAAAACATTGGCACACAAGGGTAACACATCGAGCGCAGCGGGGCTTGATGATGATGCCAAAGTAGATAAACGTGATGAGCGCCGGAAGAAAGCAGCGTCTGGCAAAGCGGGGGGTGGCGCTCAAGGCCGAGAGACTAAAACCAAATCAACTAAGAAACACCATCGCGGAGGTGGACGATCGGCTGCTCATAATGAGAGCAGTGATGATGAGGAGATGCAACATACGCGCACCGGTGGAAACTCCTCCAAAGTCAAGTCATTGGAGTTGGTTAAGATGGCAGACATTTTGAAGCTCATCTTGCCGTCATTGGAGGAGGAGGGCCTCGACCACTTGGCCAAATCTATTGCAGCGCTTTATTTTAAGTGAGCTTTTGAGAATTCATTTGAAAAAAACATTTACCATTATGTCAATATTTTAGTCAACTCAACCAAGCTGCCTTGGTCAAGGCTCAGGAACTCTTTGAAGCAACACCACAAACAAATCGCCGCCAGACGCATGCAGCAATTCAGGAGCGTGTCAACACTTTGCTTGGGGACATACGTCTCTATGAGAAGGGTCTGAAACTATTCCCCCAGGAAACGCAAGTGCAACTGGTCAAATATTTGCTCAAATCTTTAGGCAATGATATATGCAATGAATTGTCACTCTATGTGGCTAACGAATGCAATTTAACTGTCAAAAATCCTAACTTGAATTTCGATCAACGCAATAAACTGGCACAGGAATGTGGTAAGGCAATTCAGAACCCATATTCATATGCACGATGGCTTCATTTTCCGTTCTATTTCAGATGCTGCCTATAGAAATGCCTTGTTAGAACAAAACAAAGCCTTAAACAAAACTATCGATGATTTTGAATTGGCAACAGAGGCGGTATTAAAAGCTTGCAGCATGATTGTTAAAAAAATTGATAAGAAAAAGGATCGTCAATTGATTGTACAACACAAGGAAAAACTGCAGCAACAGTTGCGGGAGTGTAACGATTCCGCCTTGGTCCTTCATTTAACTGCATTGATACTGTTTACCACAATCAGCGGTTGCATTTTGCATGCATCGGGAAAATTTGTTTCGGTTATATTGAGTTATATACGTAGCAGCTTGACTGACCCGCAGAATGCGCTTCTCCAGCGCTATTATGGTTTGTAAAAATAACCTCAATAACAAACTGTAATTTATGTTCACAAATAACCCCCAGATCTGGTGCTTCAAGTACTGCAAACTACCTCCGATAGTGACGAATTAAAAACTGCAAACGAACAATTGGAAACCCTCAAATCTGAAGTTGTTGAACTGGCGCTGCATTTTGAACGCTCATCCGTATCGAAAGTGGATTAATGATAAACTAAATTTGACTGTTGACCTTACAAAACCTGCTGCGTGTTGAAGTGTTAGAACTTTTAATTTGTTTTTATATTGGCGTATGGTTATGGTTTGATTTTCCAATGCATTTTGATATGCACTTGCTTAACATCAATTACTAAATACAATCGATAAAATTACAAAAAGTACGCGCCTTATATAATGCTATTGAGTAATTGGGAATAAAGTTTTACATATGAGCATCCGATATTATTATGATCTAATTTCCAATATAACCCAACTATCTATATACACTTAGGATTATTGCAGGCTTTTTTAAAGTTTATTTTGTTGTGATTTGGTGCAGGATGGCCTTAAATTATAAACTATGTAATCGTTGTAGTATTTGCTTGGCCTTGTCGCACGATTGCCTATAAAAATGCGGATTGTATATTATTAGTTGAAATGACGAAGTTCTAGATTACTTACAGAAATAGCGGATTTCCTGCATCACAGCTTTCCATTGTCTGTCTTATATAGTTTATAAAAAGCTCCAAGTGTTTTAGAGTTTGGCTATCGGACACCCAAACGGTTGGTAAAGTGTTGACTATAACATAGGCTTTACTAATGGCGTCATTTGCCGTACAGACCTGAAAGCCATGCTCATTGTAATCACTTAAGATTTTATAGTAATTTATCTAGTACTTACGCGCATGGCCAATAATAGATAGCGATTTAGCAGGGCCCCTATTGCTAGTTCCCTTAAAGGTTTATCCGCTAAAATGCCCTGCCAGCTCAGAAAATTGCGGAACAATTTCAAGCCGCTGCAGAACTGACGCTGAAAAAACGAAGTCTTCGCCTCATAAACCCTGTAAATGGAAAGGGCGTAATGTTTATACATATTCAATGCATGGCTAGAAGTTTACACTTACTGCTTGGGAAATATTGGAATAAATACATCGTTTTCTAAAGCTGAACGCATGCACTCTATAATGGCCTCAAACAATTTCTTTAGCTGCTTATTGGTTACATTCAATGGAAATTCGCGGGCCAGACGATTTATGAAACCAACCAGACGCAATGTTTGCGTTGTGGACAAAGGGTCCCAGCATTCTGTTACTAAGGCTGTTGAATAATAATCAGAGTTAATCCTTTTTAGCTGACTGGTTGGGGTTGGACAACTTACACGTCAACTTTGGTAGTACAATTTTTTCGATTAGGGCCGGAACTAAATTAACATCTGGATCTTCTTTTAAACGATCGACGGATTCATCCGCCGTGTACGCATACAGCATGCACGAAGTATACCAATGCATTGTCTCAATGTCCGTATACTCTTCGAGAAGCGGTGACCAAAGCAGCAGCTCGTAACGCACCAGAGGCGACAGTAACTTAGGTAAACACAAGCTCACGAACGCATCCTTATAGGAGGACATGTCGGTTTTGCGCCAAGCATAGAACTTCATCAATATCAAATCGATTTTACAAAACTCATCGGTCACATCCGCGAAACATGAAGCAGCTTGCGATTCGATTTGTGCTGTTGCGGCCAAAGATTGCTCGTGCTGTTGATCAGCTATCTCGTCGTCACTAGACATGCCATCCAAATGTGAGCCTAACAAATCGTTCCGTTCGCGCTCACAACGCCGGCGAGTTCTTCGACCTTCCCGTTCTGCGGCTCGCCGCACTTGTTCCTCATATTCTGCAGTGCGACGTGTTGTTAAAGGTTCTGCGAACGGCGACATCATTCATTATAACTGAAAGCAAGAAATTATAACCTTCACCGCTTACTTGTTGCTTCGGCCATTTCTTTAGCTTGGTCTCGGACATCCTGACGGCGTCGATTCACCAAATAACGCTGATTTTTGCCATATAGCTGCAAAGCTCGCTTCTCCAGCTCATTAATAAGGGGTGTCTTCTCATTGAGACAATCCACGAGATCATTGACATAGCACTTGATTTCTTGATAGAATTTATACTTAGCTGCCACTGTTGGTGCATTCTGTTGACAATCAAGCTCCCGGAGTTTCAGGGCTTTAAGCTCTGTAGCTATACGCGCCATCGTGGCGCTGTGGTCCGCGTTGCTGTCCTTGAGTTCGGCTAGTCGGGAAGTAATTGTTGAGCACACCTCCTGAGGAGTTCGCAATGCAGTCGCCTTTGGTTTGGTCTCCTTCTTTACCCTGTTGCGTGTCGCTGTTGTTAATGCACACCGGTCAATTGCGTTCTTTGCATAGGCTTGCTCCAATAGCGTTGATGTAGACTGTGGGGCCAAGAGCTGGGCATCTTCTAAGCCATTGCCGCTACCAGTCGGTTTGATCATGAAACGGGACAACACAGTCTCGTGCTGGGCATGAACCAGCTGCGCCCCTGTCACACCTTTTCGAATCTGTTGATTCTCCCACTCGTGCATTTCACGTTCAGAATCTTCCTCGGATACTAAATTGAAGGGAATAAAAAATTCAATTATTTTTTGCAAATCCCAAGCCCTAAATATGGTGCACGTGCCGTCACGGGTGGCTACAGCAAGCTACCAACTACATACAATCATTCTCAACAGCATAGAACTGTTCGCGACGCTCTTCGCGCTCCTTGCGACCAGTTATATCGTTCATATCCATGCGCTCTTCGTCGTCCGACTGATCGCCCTCGACATCTTCGCGTGGCAGCCTTGTGCTCAGTTTTGGAGGTTCTTTAGGCTCCTCTATGGGTATGAATTCGGCAGCACCTGAACCAAAAAATGGACATGAGTTAAAATGCAAAAGTTTTCACCCATATTGTTTCTACTTACCTTGTTCCCGAGCGCGTTGTCTGCGCTTTCGAGCAGCATGTATCATCGCTGCATCCGGAATGGAGCCGCTCTCCAGCATTTGTCTGAAATGCTCCGGCTTTGAGAAGCGATGATGAGCAGTCCGTGAATTGTCTGTTTCCTCGACTGTTTCTTCATCACTCATATCGTCACGACCAGCGCATAAAGCAGACCGTCCATTTAATATAACAGGCGTTTCGGATTTTTTAACCACAAGCTGTTTGGATGTAAAAATTGTGAGCCATATTATTGATAGTCAGGCGGAATATGATCAAAAAATCGCTGTGAGTGAGCTAGGCATGCATAGAATTATTCAAAATATAGGATCTGAAGGATCGTAGATATAACTACACAAAGCTTTAGAATAGTTGTTTTGTTTTTACATACACTTTGTATGCATTAAAATTATTATAAATATAATTGTTTTTTTATATGTGAGTTTTTGTTTTTGGTGGTACGTAAATCGGAAAAAATTGGTTTCTAGAAAATTGAATAATAATAACCTTACCACAAAGTCGTCTGTGCGTATTTCGGTTTGGATCATATCATTATCACATTTTTTACTTTTACTCTGTACGCTCGCGCCGATATCTGCCGACGCACTTCTATATCTACTGCTACCAGTAGTGTGACCCGAAGTTGAGAGAATACTGGACCCTAAATGCTGTGTACTACCACTACCATTCTCATTATTTCCACTGTGCCCGCCAGCGTTTGTGGATTGTTCTTCACGCTTCTTTTTGCGCCGCTCCTTGTCCATCATTCGCATCACCTTTTTGCTATGAGAAGATTTGCGTACTTGAAAGACTTCGCCATCGTCCTCTGCAAAATATAGTACATAAAACACTCTTATTATAAACTCATCATTTATATATAACATAGCAAATACTAACCATCGTCTGCAAAGCTAAGTAGCTTGGGTTGGCTCTGACTTTGTTTGCCCACTCCATTGTCACTACTAGATGGCTTCGAATGCTTCTTTCCCTTATCGCGCTTCTCCGATGTTACTAGAAGCGACGGCGCAACTAGATTTCCATCCGCCTTCGATTCGGCAGCACCACTGTAATTGTGATTCGCCTCGTCCTCGTCTGCGTCCACATTGCTGGAAAAAACTCGTCGCTGTATCTTTTTCGGTTTGCGAAAAAGCGACATTACGGCCACGCGCTTTTTTGCGCTAAACAACAGGTAAAAAATCAATAATAAGCAACTAAATCTTTTTTGCAAAAAGGACGTGCTTCGTCTTATAGAACTGTCAAACTATCGATACAATGAATGATACAATCGATAGACTTCATTAACGGGTTCGATTAATTTACAAGTTTTTGAACTACAAACCAAACTAGAATATAAACGCTGTGTACGTTTATATAGTAAAATGAAATACCGAAATCATCAAAAGAAATAAACAGAGTATTTTTTTCCAACGCATTGTTTACTCTTTTATTGCGGGTCATCCATGATTTAACTTGGTGAATGAGACTTTTTGTGTGACCGTATCAAAACATAATTTATTTTGCTCATCTCTAAAAATGTGTGACACATTTGCTGTTACTCAGGGCTGGGTAATATCAGAAATTAGTTGAGTTGTTTGAACTAAACGGTGATATACTATTATTTCTTTTGGAACTCAGATTCCGAACAGTTACTATTTTTTGGGATTTTTATTCAATTATTAATTATATTAAATACATGTATGAATTTGATTGACCAATGTGAAGAAACCTTAAGAAAATGATTACTGCCACAGTTAATAGTTCAGTTCCATTGAACTGTTTAATCGTACGTACTGAGAACGAACCGACACAACTCTGTTGCTGCTGCGTCCGTTCGCATCTGCTTAAAGCGATACGCTAACTTACATATTTGAGCATTTAAAGTTTAACTGGTGCCGCTGCCATAGCCATGGGCCTTAAAGGTTGTGAAGTGGAATTGGATAACCCGTGGAATACTTACTATGCGGGTCAAACTTTAAACGGACAAGTAAAACTGACCTTCGACTCGCCAAAAAAAGTCCGAGGTATTGTATTTATTTTAAAAATAAAAGTGTGAAACTCAAGCAAAGTTTAGTCAATTACATTACTCATGAAAGTGACGACATCAGGGTACCAGGCACTAAACCTCTGTAGTATATACATATGCATGTACATACATACGTAGTACATCTACACAAATATGTACATGCAATTCGCTCGTGAGACAGCTGGTTTGATGATTAGCTAGTAACAACAACAACAAAGCTGGGCCAACCATCTCAACCATACCCCACCCTCATTCGCAATCGAAAGCCGGTCTGTTCTCCTTATACATAAATAATTATATATATGCATGTACATACATATATACTATAAATACATACATACATACGTGCGTATTAAGTGAATATTCATGTACATATGTATGTATAGAACAGCATTCCTCTCACGATCGTGTTTGGGGCCATGCAATACTAAGAGTGGACTTTATTTTCGGTCTTCGCGGTTGTTGAACTATTTTTGTCCAAACCGCATTCCGTTGATCGCAAATTGCGTTCGTGGATGAGCAGCCTATGGAACTGCCACACAAACTCCCTCGCTATATGCAGCACTAATATATGTATGTTTTGATTGGATTGGGCGTGTACCTTCATAAGTTCAATTAGACATGCATTCTAAAATTCAAAAGCGACGACTCGACGGCTACGCAACATTGATGATGATAGAGATGATGTCATCAAATTGCGCAATTAGCGCAACAAAAGTCAGGGCCAATATTGACCATCGATACATAGTATATACATACATATGTATGTTCGTACTAAATGTATTTACCACCAAATAACTCCTTAAACCTTAAACCTTTCTCAAGATTTGTGGCTACAATTCTACGTTTCAGCAATAATTATTAAGCCATTTTATTTTGCTCCAACCAGGCATTATTATTCGTTTCCTGGGTGAATCAAACACCGAATGGACAGAAGAGCGCAATGTTACTACAAGTGAAGGCAAAACTGAGAACGAGATAACGAATCTCAAGGGCCATGAGGAGTATTTTAAGATACAATACTATTTGCTTGGCGGAAAAAATAGTGAGTATAACCGTGTTGTACCGAGCAATGTTGGATAATAATATTATTAATTTAGGCTCAGAAACTGAGTTACCGCCCGGCACACACACCTATCCGTTTACGTGCGCACTGCCACCCACACTACCGTCCTCCTTTGAAGGCGAATTCGGTCATGTGCGATATACCATCAAGGTGACTCTGGATCGACCATGGAAATTCGATCAGGACATGAAAATGGCCTTTACTGTTATAGCGCCGGTCGATTTGAATCTTAATCCGCGTGTGAAGGAGCCTTTTAAACTTGAACTTGAGAAATCCTTCTGCTGTTTTTGCTGTCGCTCAGGTCCACTTTCTGTGGTCACCACCATCCCTGTCACAGGATATGTGTCCGGTCAAATTATACCCATTAGCTGCGAGTGCGATAATGCTAGCAATGTTGGCATTAATGCCGTAAAATTTGAACTACGTAAGCTGGTCACCTTCCACACAAATCAACCGCGTAGCGAGAAACGTGAATCGAAATGCGTTATTGCACAATTGAGCATTGGTCCTGTGGCCGCTGGTGAATCTCGTACATTTACACAGCAATTGGAGATACCGCCATTGCCGCCCACAAATCTTCTCAATTGTGGCATCATTGCCTTGGATTATGACTTACACGTGGAGTGTGATGTTAGTGGGCCACATCGTAATCTCAATGGAAAAGTTCCCATTACCTTAGGTACTATTCCACTGGCTTCCTTCAAGCCACCCGCACCGTATACTGATGTGCCGGCCCAGGTGCCACCACACCAGTTGGACGACCCTTCGCTGGCGCCTACACAGCCCGTTAGCCCAGTTAGTCCACCCAGCGGTGCCGGCGGCGCCCTTGGATGGAATGTTGCAGACAGTGCGGGCGGAGAACTGTATCCTAATATTCGTAAGTTCAAGCCATTAATATTATAGAACACTTGTGTAACTCGGGTTTTTCTCTTTCAGCACCACCTCAGTTTGTTGAGACTGAGTATCGTGGGACTATTGCCGGTCGTGATGACTCTGAGCATACTCAAATCATTGGAGATGGCGCATTTGCTCCGCGGTATCCAACATTTCAATTTAACAATGCCACAGCGCCACCGTTCAATCGTTGAGTTCATTTTGAAACTGTTTCGCCAGGACTATGCTGTATCCACAATTTTGACTTTCTACCAGTGCGCAAATTTGTTTTCTATATGTATATGGTCAAATAATTATAATCAATTGTAGAGGTGCTTTTTTCTCAAATTTGTACGCTTCCGTCCGGCATTTATTTAAAATATAATGTCGCTGATAAATATATTTGGTCTTGCATACCTTTGAGAAAGTATGTGCAATTAAAAACAAGAGTGCCTAAAATAAAGAATCTTGCTTAAGCTGTGCTTTTTCGCCCCTTGTAGCAAAAATTAGATACCAATATTTCTTTCAAACGGGCTTGAGCATTAATTTTAAAGCCAATAATTTACATAATTTCTTAAAATAAAAGAATATCATGTTTTCAATATTTTAAACCCATACTATATTTCAATATGATCAATGGTATATAATATTTGCATAAGGGAGGGCGAGGCACAGTTATTTTCACTACATTTGCAATGTATCTTATTACAAATTAGAAGTATGTATGCATTTTGAATTAAAAGTGGGAGGTGTGGAGTACATAAATAAGTATATTTTTGACTAGCGGGACAAGATTCGTCATTAAGTTATAAATATTAAACAACGCGTGGATCTAGGAACGCAAATGTGATATCCAATATCTTAATGTACCGATCAAATATTTTAGAATATATCATGATGGAAAAGGAAGCATGGTTTACAGCTCTATTGGGATTGCGTTTTATTTGAAAAACTCAAATTGTTATGTTTATAAAGTCTCATATGTTCCACATATTGAAAGCCACCCAATGGCGTTGAAAGGTTTAAGGATCTGCTTCGTTTTATAAGCCCTTCGTAATTATTTATGAAGCAGCACCGCATCTTATGTAAAGGCATCTACTTCGATTTGTTGGCCCGTGGTGCTGCATCTGGAAATAAATAATACTGTTCCAAACAGTTAGAAATTACTCTTAATTTACATAATATTTATGTACGAGTATATACAAAGAAACGAAAAATAGGCTTACCCACAACATGCGCGCAAAACCAGTTAACACGCTCGAGAAGTTGCGTTTGCAATCATCTTCATCCTCTTCTTCCTTCAATTTTGTTACACACTCCGAACCCCCCAATATTTCAATCTCTGGCTCCTTTGTTTTCTGCTTACGAACGCTCTTGCTCTTAGCCTTGCAAGTCGCCGACCCACCTCTAATAGCAGTACTATCTTTCTCATTATCTTTGCTGGTAAACAGGTACGCCGATCTCTTTGGAAGCGCTGTTGTGCCACCCAATATTACGATGTCTTTGGATTCCTCGACCTGCTTCGGAAAATGTGTGAGCTGTTCCAAGTTTTGGACCGTCTCTGAAAGAACAGCGGGACGAATTACTACAACAACACGTTCTTTCAGTTGATTTTGGGATGGTGCTTCGGCTGATTCAGTTATTCGATTGCTTTCTGATTCCGGTATGGATGCCGTAGCGATCTTATGCGCCTGGCGCTTATTGTGATATTTCGGAGCCAAAGTTCCAGCATGTTGAATCTGTTGTATATTGCGCTGGCCTCGACGATAGCGCTTTCGTATGCGTTCTTGGCGTACTTGGATATTTGAATGTTGCCTACTACGTGCTGAAGCTAAGACTTTTTGATTGACACCTGACCATGCCACTCCGGCAAATGTAGCCATTCCGCGCTTGGTGTCATCCACTTGCGATTCTGTTTTTGTTTTTCTGGCTCTCGACCTGCCTCCCATATTCATTAACTTGTCGTAGAGGAATTGCGCCAATGAAATTTTTGGTTTCGATGTTGTTTGATCCTCAGTGTCTTTAAGCACTACGCTCATGCCTAGTTCCCCTTCTTCCAGTTGTGCCCCCGTAGAAACTCTTCCCATCTGCATTTGGTTGGGTTTACTCTCTGTTTCCAGCACCTCGTCAGGCTTTGATTTCACTTCGTCATCCGACTCTTCAACCTTTTTAATGTCTTTTATGTCTTCAAACAGAGCCACCTTGACCTTAACTCTTCTATTTTCCTTACGATCATAATTTTGATCATGAACTTGCATTTCTTCTTCGCGTCTTCTATTTTGTATCCACTCCTTAATGCTTTCCTCAAATCTCACGGTGCTTTGGATTTCATGGATACTTTTTTCTTCATTTCTATCGCTCTCCTCTGCATTTCTTTCGGCTTGATTCGCGCTCACATTAAGAGCTGGTTGCGGATCAACTAATTTTCTAGCCGCAAGGTAGTCGTCTCTTACCTTAGTGGTTGTAACCTGTGTAGTCTCAACATATTTGCTTTCCATCGGAGGTGCAATTTTAGAGGTTGGCAATAATATGTCGGCGGATGCCGATTTTTGTTGTGGTGGTAATTGTGTTAGCTTTGTCGAAGTGGCATCATCCATATAAATATTATTGCAATCGGATATGTGTCCAGATACTTTTTGTTCACCGATGGAGACAGTATCAGGCGTGAAGAATTTCGAATTCATTTCAGCTTTTGGACCTTTATCTGTGGTATTCTTTTTCAATTTTTCTACTTTGGCTAATGCATCAGAACTTCCCGACGTCTTGTTATCAGGTCGGAAGGGAGGAATTTGTTTTCTAAATTTCATGCTTTCTTCAGTTCCAATGTTCTGCGGTTTCATATTTAATTTTTCGGTTTTCTCAGCTTCCTTAGGTTTTTTCTGCTTTTCTTTGCCGGCTTCAATCGGATTGCGCTCAAAATAGGACTGGGATATTTTGGATAAGAAAGCACCAAAACTATTTTCGGGTTGACGCGGTTCTTGCTTCTTTTCAATAAATTGAGAAATTTTGATTCGAGACGAGCTTTCTGCAGATTTCTCAAAATCCTCATTGGTGTTACGGTCGGATTTTTTTAACCGAAATTCTGCGGTTTCTGATTTATTTTCGTTAGGCGATTTTTCATTCGATTCCTTCTCAAGATTATTCATTTGGGCTGTTGGTTCTTTTAAATTTTGTCTAGCGTCGTTTGTCTTATAAATATCTTCATTGCCCGATTTTTTCCTTGATTCCTCCCTATCCTTGGGTATCTCCATCTCGGCATTTGATTCAGTTAAGTTTTCTTGTGCCCGTTTCGATTTTGAAATATCCTCAGGGGAGTTTTGCAGAGCGGGTTCTTGCGACTCTGCCAATTCAGCAGCTAGGGCAGCATCAGCTTCTTGCAGAGCTTGAGACTCGGACATTATTTCAGAATCCGGCAAGGGTTGAATACTTATTGATGCATTTGCTTCATTATTTTCAACAACAAGGGGGTTAGTCTTGCTTGTATTTAGTGGTGCTTCAGTCACGGGCGCAGGATTAACTGGTGCCGGCTCTGCACTTCTTTCATTGCTAGGAGCTTGTGGGTCTGGTGCTCTCTCTCCACTTACTTTACTAGGGGCTTGTGTATCTGGTGGTCTCTCTGCACTTATCTCATTGTTAGGAGCTTGTGGGTCTGATGCTCTATCTGCACTTATCTCATTACTAGGAACTTGGGGATCTGGTGTTCTCTCTGTGCCTCCTGCACTACTAGGAGCTTGTGAATCTGGTTTCGAAGCTGCCTCTTCTGGTGTAGCAGTAGGTCCAGTGTTCCTAGTCTTAGCTGTTTCCTTAGTCTCAACTGGAGCTCTCGGTGTAATATCGGAACTTCTTTCAGGAATTTGTGAACCTGGGGCCGTTTCGACGGTCTGAGTTGCTGGGTTTTCTCTAGGGGCAGAGTCTGGCGTGTGTACGGTTCGTTGCTCACCTGCAGGACGTGTAGTAGTTGGTTCGGTTTTTATGGTTTCGGCCGTAGGTTTTGATTCAAGTGGTGCTTTCACTGGAACTCGGGAATCTTTTAGACTCCCAGGTACACGATGTGGTTGATCAGATTTTGAATGTTTCACAGTCGGTTCAGTTTTTGTGGTCTTTGCCGTAGGTTTTGCTACATATGGGGCTTTCGGAGGGGCTTCCGACATTCTTTCAATTCCAGGAGGCTTGGGATCGGGGCTTAATTGTTTGTTTGGTACAGCATTTTGTGCAGTTTTGATAGGCTCGACCGTTGGTTTTGCTTCAGGTAATGGGGCGGCTGGTGGGACTGGTTCCACTGGCGGAAGTCTCGAACTACCGTCATTAGTAGGGCCAAATTGGTTTACATGGGCCGCGACAGTAACTAGGTTTGGATGTTCCCCTTCTTTCATCGCGGTACATAAATCGGATGGTATCACGACCTGCACTTTTAAGGATATCTCTGGCGCGCTAATATCGATAACATCGCCAACAATTGGCTCCTTCGGATCTTTAGTTTTATGTGTGTAATCTGCCTCCACCTTAGCTGTATTTGATTTAGCTTCAGACGCACTTTCCTGTTGCCCCTCAAATTTCGCCTCACTATCAGAGCAGTCGGAACTCTCATTTGTAGAAGTATCTGATTCCGCAATTATAAGTGGCTGCACAGAATTACTGCCTTCGACTGATTCACCTGATATATCAATAAGTTTCACCTCAAGGTGCGGCTGATCATTTGATTCGGCAATTATTGTGTTCACTGTTGAAGAAGATGTATTCGTTTCAGATGAGCAATTCTGTAACTCCGTGGGCGCTTCATCAGCAATTGAGGAGGACTTTAAAGCGCTTGTATCTGGACCGTCCTTTGCCACTGCGTTTTCAAGTGGGACACCTGGATCCTTCTTCAAAGATGGGCAGCACTTCTTCTCCAAAGGATTACCTCCACGTATTTCAATTGCCTTAAGGTGCCGCAGCCGCATACGCTTTTTTTCCTTATCATCGTGCTTCTGTCGCCGCTGATGTATGATAATTTGTGGAAAAATAAGAGGCTGCTTATGGGGCTGCGGTCCATATGTGGAGCATATGAGACCCAGGCATTGCGGAGTCCTGCGATAAAGCGCAAACCGTCGTATGAGCACACTGACCATGTTTTGAGCTCACCTCGAAACTATCGGTAATTCTAATTTAGTATAAAACTGTACGTTAGGCCGAAAGAAATATGTGTTTAATTTTTATACATGCCGAATACAATTTTGCGTCAAATCTTTTTGAGAGTATACAAAACGGTTTCTAAATGTTTCTAAATCGAAATACTTAAAACTTAACAGGGTTGTTGGCATCTTTGGGTTGCACGTGAATCATGACTTTTATGGCTCCGCTAGCTCTGCTTCGTGCGGTATCAAAAGCTTTAGCTGTTTCGGTTATATCAAAGTGATGGGTCACCAAACGTTTCACATTCACCTTTCCCGATGCGACAAGTGCCAAGGCGGCGGGGTAACTGTGTAGACATTAAAAACCAACAAATTAGCTTATAGTATCTTGGCAGGCCCATTTTACTTACTCGTTACAGTATCTAAATACGCCTCGTATATCGACTTCTCGTGATAAAGCATTAATCAAGGGTAATTTGACCTCAGGGGCTCCCATACCCACAACGACGACAACACCTTTATGACACACAAAAATGCTTAGATAAATATATATTTATAAATAAAAATATATGAAATACCTCCGGATCGAGTAGCCTATAAAAAAAGATGATTATAACTCAATCCACAATACCATCTAGGTGCTTTACTTACCAAGATACCCGCCTTGGTGGTAGACTCAGCACCACAACACTCAATGCACTTGTCCGCTTCTCCTATTATCTGACGCACACGGTCTCTCACTTGCTCTGCACTCATTTGTGTCGTCAGCAATAGCGTATGGGTGGCACCTAGTTCCTTTGCCACATCCAAACGTTGTTGGGTCAGGTCTGCTACCAAAATTGTTGAAGCTCCCATGGATTGAGCAACAAGAAGTGTGACCAAGCCAATTGGTCCTGCTCCCAGAATAAGTACTTTAGAACCTAAGCCAACGCCGGCCCTTCGGCAGGCGTGCACTCCCACAGACAGGGGCTCCAGCAGCGCACCCTCCTCCATGGTAACATGATTCGGTAACTTGTAGCAAAAATCGGCCGCATGTTTAAAGTAGCGCGTAAGATTTCCATCATAGGGTGGCGTGGCGCAAAAGACCATATCTGCACAAAGGTTGTACTGACCCTGCTTGCAATGATCACAGATGCGGCATGGCACACCCGGCTCGATGGCGACGCGATCGCCAACGACTAGGTTTTTCACATTTTTTCCAACCTTGGCCACCACACCGGCCGCTTCATGGCCAATGATCATGGGTTTCGTCAAAATAAAATCGCCAATACCCCCCTTTTCCAAATAGTGCACATCAGAGCCGCAAATTCCGACGGAATCCATCGCAAGAAGGACCTCTATGTGAACGGAATAGCAGTAATATCCATTAATTATAATATAAGGAGGTGATCGATGTATCAAAATACTATACATACATATATAATAGTATGTACATGTTTAAAATATAAATAAATACAGCGATTTAATTTAGTTGTGCGCTTGATCAACAGCTAGCTGCCGAGAATCAAACTTATTTAAATGTTAAGGAGAAATATTGCGCGTTGTGCCGGGTGTGCGTGGTTTGAATTTTATTTTTTTGAGAGTCCTGTATACTGTGTAATTCTGTGGACTAAAGTCCTGCTGGAATTTTTGTTAAACTTATTGTTATCTGACAGCATTATGAGATATTTAAATTAAAATATTAAATATTAAAATTATTAAAATAATTCATCTGCCACTCCGTCACTCTGTAAACTCTAAATCTACGTGTTTTAGGTTTATTTTCCTTATCATTTGAGCATAGAAAATTTCAGCCGATAGCAACATTTTGATGATGTGTGCAGATCGCGAGACACAAAACAATGATTACAGAAAATTATCCCACCTGTGTGCTGAAGCGTGATCAGCGCTTGATCAACCCACACGAGATTATCTCGATCATGATACTTTTATACTCTTCATGCTCATAAGTATGACGTAAAAAATCAACGCAGACATGTCCGTTTTTTGTCCGCCTGTCTAGATAAATGCCTGGTTTTCGGAAGAAACCAATCACACTTGGGATGTAGACTCTCCTAAGCCCTAGGCAACACAAGTATTAATTTTTGTTTGTTTCGCTATTTTACAAGGCATAAAACACAGCCCCTAAGATTTCTATACGCTTTGGCTTAAACTAGTGTAATACTCTCTTTTAGTAAATATTTTGCTTACCATCATCAGCAATTACCGGTACAGGACGTTGCTCCTACAACGAAAATAAAAGTTCCATACGATATGTACAACGAACTTTAAGCGAAATTTCTAAGTCTTACCAATCGCAGATCTTCAATGCCATATAAAACTGCAGTTAAGTTATCCTTTGCCATTTTTCTGATGTTCGAACTCTCTGCTCTCGACTTTGGGACGCGCTATGAACACGTTGCGGCAAATGCTGAACTTAGACTGCTGCTTGAATCGCTTAAAGCAGCACTGAGAACTATAAAGTGGTCGTATATTCATATGTACACTCGTATGTCTGTATATGCGCGTAAATATGTACATATGTATGTATGCATATATAGATTGACCGCAAATAAAATTCTTTTTATAATAATACGCTTTCCGCACTCTCGCTTGTGCTCCCGTGCTTATTGTTGCTATCGCAACAGCTGTACGCTCTTGCGCTCTTCCCACTCTTTTTTTATTTTTTTGTAAGGAGTGGGAGTGCCGGCCAAATGCAATTTGTTTTGTAAACACATCCGCTTGGGGCGCTCTATTTATCAAAAGTAGTCGGTATTACTGTTTGTTTTTATGGAGGTGTTGTAATACCCTAATGAAGACACTGTTACGGCCTTGTTATCAGGTTTGACACGAATTCCCTGAATTCCAAATTTAAGCAATAAAATGCACTAGCATGGCATGACGTCTTGACTAAGGACTTCAAACACTTTTGCAGTTCTTCGGACTCTTTAGTTTATTGATGAGTGGTTTGTTGTATAGCAACTCTTACATATAAAAGTGTAGCTAATCTTCGGCGTGTCGATATATTCTACTTTATTACTTTTTACGCCGGCTTTTAATTGTTGTAATTTATTTAATCAGTGCACAAAATGCCCGAGTAGTAGCTGAAGTGTAGAACTAAAGTACAAGCTCAAGGTGACCGCTGCTGCTGTTATCACTTGTTTCAAGGTGGGAAATGTGTATTTGAATTATATGTACATATAATTGTATCTTTATTTCGTTATTTTTTGTTTTTTAACTGCAATAAACGAACAAACCGGCCCATTAAGCTGTGCCATTCGAAAACATACATATGTATGTACATACGAGTGAATACCTACCAAGGAGTGATTAGCGCGATTAGATGAGCTCTTACCTTCCACCTTTTGCAACTGATTAGGGCATACTTGGGCACCTGTATTTATTTTTCTTAAAATAGTTTATTGTTTTAATTGAAATAGACATGGTTTGAGTCGCATTTTAGATTCTATGTATTTATTGTTGCGATATTTTGGACTAATTATCCATTCAATATATGTGTGTATATTTATTTTGTTCTCTTTTTGTAACATATAGAATTTCTTTTTAAAAACTTGTATGTGTATGTGTAAGTTCTCATTTCTTACCCTATAAATATTTATTAACAAAATGCTGTTTTGTTTTCCAAAATCACGGATACGTATAAATGCATAGTCTGTAAATGCTGTTAAGTTTTCAAACGACTTGGCTTACATTTTAAAAACAAACGTACATATACGCTTTTATATATATAACTATCATGTTTATGTTCACACACATATATAAGCGTGTAAGTGTTCTCTCTAATCTTTTTTCTTAGTTAGTATCTTTTATATGAAAGGAACAAATTTGGCAAAGCAGACTTAATGCATAGCAAATTAGTTATACTGAAGATATTTTCGTTACTATGTATTTATGCATTTAATTATTTTTATCACACACATGGTCGACAAATGAAACCGTCAAATTGAAGAGCTTGAAAAACTACAACAACCACAACATTCAAGCTGTGGATGCTTCAAATAAATGCATTTTGGGCTATTTTTTCTCCTAAACATTCAGCCTACAAGTTTGATTCAGTTTCTTATTTTAATTCTGGTTATGTTTGCAATTAGCAGAATTTAAATGGAAAATGCTGCCCCCGTTGAGAGTTAAGAGTCAGCATTTTCATGTTTTAGATTTCGTGACTCACAATCTCTGTATTCCAAATTGAATAATCAAAAACTTTCCGTTTATACTATGTGATTATTTCTCGGCAAGTATATATTTTTGTATACTTTGAGCTTTTGATTATATTTTGTTGACTCTAGATTTCTGAATTCCTATTTCGTAGATTAAACCTTATAATCGAAGTTAATCACAAAACTACGCTGTTCTTAATTTCAAAATGTAATTACTACATATAGGTTCCGATATAATTTGGATCAATCGAGATATTTTTCACTCTAAAACGGGAGCAGCATTTGACGGAAATGGAAGAAATGGGGGAACAGGTCAGATGATCTCATTACAAATATATGACAGAAGTTTAAATATTGGATTTTTGTGTTATTCACATAGACTCTTTTTAATTTGACGGCTCATTAATTATATATCATATGACCAATTGGCAGAGAATTAGTCAGATCCTTACATTGACAGCTCTTGTCTGGGTTTGTTTATGTGCAACCGTTGTGGATCCTGGGGCGCCACACAAATATCGGTCAATATAACCACTTCATATGGGCTGCAGTCGGACATCTGCAGAAAGCCACATAGCCAACCATAGAATCCCTTTTCTATATCGGTTATATCATTTACCCAGCTGCTGTATTGCAGGCTCAGCTGCCTAAAGCCCGAGTACAGACCCAAGCCAAAAGTACACAGCACAATAGCCAACGGATAGGCCAAAATAAGTATGGGGGTGACAAAAATCTTGTGCAGATATGATTTCTCCTCACAGTAGTAGTTGAACATATTATACCAAGTTAGGGTGCCTATGTAGAAGGAGTACACAGCCGATATGACCACAACAAAGGGCAAACAGAGCAAGGATAACAGCAAAATGTGCAAGCCAATGCCGCAGCTGCAGACACAGCAGAGATTTGTGCCCTTCTGAGACTTGTGGGTCATGGCATTAGCATTGAGTTGCTCCAACTCTTCGCGACTGATGTTTATTTGCAAGTCTATAGACTGGCCCTTTTTACGCCCGCGTTTCACTGTACCTGTTTGAGTAGGAAGTTTTTTATATATAATCTTCAGAGCGAGTTGCTCACTTACCAGTCATGGTCAAATAGTTTCCCCCATCGATATTCTTGCGGGTCTGATAGCGCTCCAAACTCTGGTCATATGTGTTCAGGACACTCGTCTCGCCGGACTCCAAGTCCTCGTAGTTGGCTATATCTGGAGATGGCTGACTGCGCACATGTGGTAAATCAGCTGTACGTATATTGACGCGTTTCTTCGAGGACAAGGGGTTGCTAAGACAGTCGTGGGATTTGGCCATTTTGGCATCCAGGCTGCTCTCTGAATAGCAACAGCTGCTTGGTGTCACTGTCGTGCTATCGTGGCGCTGAGATTGCGATGTGGATTTGGTATATTGGGAAATGGATTCGAAGTTCTGAAGCTCATTGAGATTTCCAGCGGAATGGGCCGATTTATTGGAGTTGGCCGAATGCGTGCTCGCGAGTGTGTCCTGAACGCCCAATTCTCCAGGCAATTGTGGCAGTGGCTGCTTGTTTTTAATTATCAGCTTGGATTTGAGAAGCTCCTCCTCGAGGCCGGGATTAGAGGGCGAAAGTTTGGGTCGATTTGCCTGTGGCAAAAATACATATTTGATATATGTATATACATACTACATGTAGATATTTGAAGAGTAAAGTCGAAGGACCTACCTGCACATTGACTATATGGTCGACATAATTTTGTTTTTTCGCCTCGGCTTTCGTTTGTTGACGTTTCCGAGGCGGTATGAAAACAGGGCGTTCCTTTGTGGCCGAGTTAACTTCGACACTCATTGCACTCTTACTAACCATTTTGGTGCTGATAGCTTTTCCAGTTTATCCAGCTATTCGTATACGTGAGGGATATTTTTATTTACATGTTTTCATTTATAATAACTGCACAAGCTGACGATATTTATGCAATGACCCATTAGCGTAACTAACTAACTGAGCGGCAGTTATTGATTTTTCGTGGATTTTGGTTGACATAGCCTTGTGCTGGATTGGCGTTCATTGGCGTCTAGGGTGGTGCGCTTCAAGAGCAGTGTTTACATAAAGCCTGCGACTGCGCATTCGTATCCTCTAAATGCATTTTCTCTAGATCAGCTGTTGCCGCCAGTTGAAGATGGCTTTCATCAAATAGGCAAACAGCTTGCCGAAATATTTTCTATGGTGGAAATAAATACATATGTTGCATATGTGTAACATATGTGTTTTTTAAACGAATAAATAAGTTATACTTGAACCATATATACATATGTAATGAAGAGTCTGGTTGTTGCATAAACTAAAAGTTTCTCAAAGCTTTAACTGCAGAGAGCTTTTGTTAGAGATGTGAGTAAAGTTCATAAAATCTCGATGAAAAACATAGAAACATTAAAAAACAGAACATTGGTTCATGCATTGTTTTGAACATTTAAAAAGCTCATAGCTACATATATTGTAAGTACAGTATGTAATAAGATTATTGATATCAAATGTGTTTCAGCAATTTCAATAGTTTCTTCGTTCGTAAATCATAATCAAAACTGAATTAATGTGATTAAATACTGGATTCTAAATGCAGTTATAATAAAAGAGTTGGATTCCTACATTGTCATGGGAATCGAAAAATTTACCTTACTATTTGCATGATTTTCAATTTTGCATTAAACTGCTAATTAAATTATTTTGCATTCTCAATACCATTAACCCTTCGTATGACTTTATTTCTGGTTTCAATGCGGTTCTTTCCATTAGATAGAAAAGGCAAAATAAAAATATACGTGGCTTTTTTTTTAATTTTGTGATTTTGTATATTTTTTTTTACAAAAAACGATTATTATTATAAAAACAAATTATTCGTTATACCCTGTACCCAAAGGGTACAAGGGTATATTAGTTTTGTGCGAGTGCACATGGAACACACAGAAGGAGGCTTGGTAGACCCCACAAAGTATATATATTCTTGATCAAATGGTATACAGATTCTCCTGAGCCCGAGAAAGGACGAGTTTGTTCATTTTTTCTGATCCACCTCCCACACTCCCCCCCTTTTAACGATTTTCTATACCTCCCGTATTTCTTGGAATTTTAAACTAATTTAAACTAGACACATCCAGTTCGTAATTATGTATCCGTATGCCAAGTTTCATTATGATAGGTTGATCAGAAAGAAAGTTATAGCCATATAACCAGGCCCAATGCACACATACATACATATGTACATGTACACAAACACGCATAAGGCACGATTCTGATGTAAACGTAAATGTATGTATGCATGCATGGAATATTTAATTTAGTTAATTAATTAAATTAATTTAGCTAATTAATTAAATTAATTTAGTTAATTAATTTAATTTCTTTTTTGTGGGGTGGTACAGGGTATTTGAGAGTTGAGCCTGCTCGACTTTAGCATTCCTTTCTTGTTTTATTAAAGTTTAATGCGACCCCAAATGTATCGCATTTTTAGTTGTACTTTATATATTTAAAAAATTTAATACATAAATCCTCTAATTTGTTTGCATCCCACAAATCCCAAAATTGGCGCAAAAAGTGATCTTAATTTCAATTCACTACCTTATGTCAGTGTAACCAAATCCCATGTGTAGAACTACATCAAATAGAAACTGTGCAAATTTCGCGCATATATTGTAAAATAATTGAGTTTAAGCGGTATGTTGCAGATATGCATCTTAGACATACTATACGAAAGGTTAAATCATATCGCTTCTATGGCAAGTCTAAGATGATCAAGATAGAACGCTACAGTCGAGAAAGCCCGACAGTGAAATGCCCCGTACCCAGAACTACTTCCGGCACTGAGTTATATGCGCCTCTAGCAGAAGCAAACAGAAGAAGAGCGAACATGAGTGTGCAGCTTGTTAGCGAAGTACTGGAATGAAATTGTTTCGCCAATAACTTTTCTTAGAATTTATTTAGATGAAATTTGAAACAATAGTAGATAAATGCGCGCAAAGTTTGGTTTCTGTAGGTTTGAAAATGTGAACAGTATTGACGAAATTTTGTATATACTTAGGAGGGAAAATAAAAAAAAATTAAAATAAACTCGTATAGACTAGGGGCTAGGAGCGTCTGCATACCACGTTTGATTAGTGTTCGCTCAGCCGTTTCCGAAATCCAGGCGTTCATCCAGACGGATAGACGAACGGACAGACGGACGGACGGATATGTCTAGATCGATTTCTCTCGTCATGCGGATTAAGAATATTTATACTATATATATTTATATTCGGAGATGCTTCCTTCCGCCTGTTAAATATATTGCGCAAGCCTAATATAAGTATACCCTTTTTGTCCTACGGGTACAGGGTATAATAGAGGCTGCATAAATACTGGATCGGTGGGTGAAAAGAGTATGTGAACTTAGAGACTCGCCCGGAGATGCTGAAAAGTGCTGAATTTGTAAATGAGGGAGAAGGCACGTTTAAACTGACTTTGATTAATATAAGGAAATACCCGCTATGACGTTAGCTGGTGTCCGTTGTTTTGTAGTTCTCAGTGTGTGTTCTCAGCTGCTCTGCCGCTTGTAACCACATAACGATGATGGTGAGGTGTTGCATTTTTATTGAATTAGCTCGGGGGCTTCCGGAGGACTGTCTAGGGCCATGGCCTGTTGCAGGCGCACGAGAAGATTGTTGTTCCGATGTTGTTCATTGGCCAGAATGAATGTGCTCATGCTTGTTGGGGTGTGTGAGGATGCTTGGAATGTGGCAATTTCTTTGCCATTGTTACATTGGAATTTTTATTTGATATCAAACGGGGTGCGAAATCGGCGTAACAGAAATGTGAACAATCTTACATTTGGTGAGTACAAGTAGGAGCAGGCAAGTGTAAATACGTGCGGAATGCTTGGAGTTTTTTGTTCCTTGTTTGACCAATGGATTGATCTCGTTCCACGAATTTTCTAATGCGCTCAGTAGCCAGCAATCTGAACATTTACTTAGTGCATTGCATTAGTACTTGCATTAGTGCGACTACATGTCGTCCACTGCCAACTAAAATCCCAAACATGCACTCCAATGCAACCGTGAAGAAGGCAGTAACTCAGCATGTACAACTATGTAATGTGGTTGCCAAAATGCATGGCCAGTGAGAGTGAAAAGTCAATTAAAATTTGGAGTGCTGCACTACAACACTTATAAACTCTGACGTTGGGGTTTACTTGTATGTGTGTGTCTGTGCGAAAGTTTCGCATAAATGACAATTAGAAAATAACCGTCGGTGAAATTGTCATAGTTGCTGCTTGTTGCACAGTTCACATGCAATTTACGCTTTGATGGCTACCCAGCAATTTATGGTGTCAAATAGATCCGTCGCTACGGCACAGATGATAGTTGACTGTTTAATTACTATGTGTACCCACAGAGGTCAAGAGCATGTCTTCATACACTCAGAAAAAGTTGCATGAATATTTTCATATTCAATTTATTATTCTACTCTTTATCATATTTAAATCAAAAATAAACAACGTAAATTCAACTTAAAACATATTCAATTACTGATTTAAATATGATTAATATTTATTCAAAGCAAAGTGTTAATCCTTGCCATTACAGTGTGTTATGCTCAATTTAATGTTGAACCATACTTAAATTTAATATGCGCCTACATCAAATACCAAATAGTTCAATTTATATGTATTCCATAGAAAATGTTCATATTTTTCTCAACTTTAATTTAAAGATTTTTGTAGTCTATTAAAATATACCAGAAATATATTAAATAATGATATTTTTAATAGTTAAATCAATTTTAAAAGTGAAAAAAAAAATGTAAATGATAATCATAAATACAGGAATTTAATTGCTGTCATCATAAGTTCAGTTTCTTCGAATGCGTATAAAGTCACTATCATTGCTGAAATAATTTTTAAGTGGATTCTTGCTCGTTCGAAATCTACATTTTTTAGAGTGAACTCTGTTGTGAGTCGTTGTTCGAAAATTGTTGCACCTCTTTGAATAATTCTTTGTATTTGAATTTCTTTGCTGTTTGTCAGCGGTGTGTGTTTTTATTTATTTGTTTAGAATGTGCTAATTGGAATAAAATCAAGTAACAATAAAATTTTGTATTTTAATTTTAAACCAAAACCGTGTAAAGACAGAATTCAGTGTATATACAAGTATTTATATATATAATTTTTCAATATGAGAATACCATTATTGAATAAAGTTTAAAAAATACAGTAGAGTAGAAAAAAATGTCTTTTTTTTTGTATAATTATAAAAAACAAACCTTTGGCTTGAATCAAATACCCGCGTCCACTTTATCACTTGTGATTTAATATCATTTCACTTTAAATTTAGTATTTTATATCTACTAAAACACACTACGGTGAAAAATCGATGGTAAAAATATTCAAATTTTAGTGTAAATATTTAAATTTACTTGGGTTTTTTATCAGTGTATGGATATGGTTACTAAAACTAAACGTTGTTTTATTTATCTGTGGCTACTCTCGTTATACCCCTTCACCCTTTTTGGTGTGCAAGCTTGTAACCGCAAGATGGAAGAGAGGACTAATCCAAAGCCAATAGGATTGCTTTACTCTTACTCTTTCGGTACAGGATATAATAATTTCCGATTTGAATTGCGATTTGTATTCATAGTAGTTCGATCGTCGTCTCTGTACCTGTTTATGTCAACACCAGAATCTTGGATTATATAGAAGCCAAAACCGACGTGATGGACCCCCAATTTATATATTTTGTTAATAGGGGGAAAAGGCATCAAAATATGAACTATCGTGTGTGTTTTTTTGAAAGTACCGACCACGTGGGACTCGTCTATAAATATAGCCTATATACTTGTAATAAATTTGTAGGTATATTTTTAAATTTATTTGTATTATTTACTTCCTTTTGCGATCTAAAAAGAGCTCAGCCACAAAAAAAAAAAAATTACTTACATCGTATTATGTTTGTGTAAATTAATATACAAAAATAAAAATAAATAAATTGTAATCATGTAGGCCCAACATAGTCATCGAGAAGAATTTTAACAGCTGCTAATCTTTTTTCAGAACTCCATATACATATCTCCTATAGGTTGCGAAACATTATCGTAATAAAAAGCATTGTTTTCCATTTAATTACACATAAATTTATATGTTTTATTTGTTACCCATTAATTGGTTGCCCTTTAATTTTGTCAATTTCATTTACATACATATAATTCATAAATTAATTCCTAAATATATTTTTGAGGGTACAGGCGACATTTGCCGATGTGCAGATAACAGGACTCAACATCTTGACGTTCATGATTGAAATTTTATTTTATGCAGCCCTAAAGTTTTTAGTTTCCATTTTAACTTTTCTTCTTTTTTTTTGTAAATAGAAGACTTGTTTAGAACCCACCGACATAGGAAAGTATTACACTTTCTTCCAGTCTAACATAAAATGGGCGTGTTCATCATTTTAGGACAAGTTTTAGGTACTGGTACATTAACATTTTATTTTCTCTTTTAAAATTTGTATTGGGTTTTTCGACTTAGCTAAAATACATACATACATACATTTATTTGCTTATACATAAATATTGCACAAAATTGGTTCGATGCATGTTAAATGAAATTAAAGGGCCACTCTTGCCTTCCTACACATATTGTAAGTACAATAACAAACAAATGTTGTAGTCGAAATAAATACGTAATTAACAATAATAGTATTAATAATAATAATAAGTACAACAAGCATTTTGACAGGTAGCAAGTAAAATTTGCACAGAGCTGTAGGGACCCCAATGTACTCGTAGCCTTGATCCTGTTTACACATTGAAAGGAACTTAAATAAAGCTCTCACAGAATGTAAACAATAGCTTTAATTTGACTAAATTCTACAACGAATACATACATAAACAATACATGCTCACATACACATATATTAAATGCATTGATATTGGAAAATGTTCTAATATTTTCAATCTTAAATTGTAATATTTGAGAAAACTTGTAATTAACAAATAATGGCGCTTTATCTCTCCCCCTATCCCTCCCTATCCTTCTGTCTACACATACATACTATATATGCCTTTATATACAAATACATACTATACTTTGTATATCTATGCATAATTGACTGATTATTAATTGTTGTCTTCTGGTTATGTATATTATATATGTTTATATATATGTGTACATAGTATATTTGATTTATGCTATGCCGAAATGATTAATTGACTACATAGTATACTTGAGATAATATTTTCATTTGGCTTTCAAGCACATCTACAAGTATGTATGTATGCCACAGGGATACCAACTAGTAAGTAATTTGAATTTTTTCGATCGCCAAAAAATGTAGATTTGCGTTGTGCTGGTTGGTGGTTGGGATAATGACTAACAGTTAACAATAGACGACCATACGGAAGACGAAATCAATGCGATTATGTACTATATACGCTCACTATAAAGCTTTATTTGGTTATTAGCCATAAATACTTTAATAACACATCCCATTTAAACAAGATCGTTTACCTGCCTTTGACCTTTCACTGATCATAAGTGTAAATACGTAATTAACCTACAATGGGATTATTTTAGAGATAACATTCGATAGACTTCATTAATAACATCAGTTAAAGAACATCAGAACTGGCAGAATGTTCGGTTTTTTTTTTTTGTAAAAACATGATTTTTAGACTGCTTCCTAATTTATTCACAAGTGGTATCATTTATCTGATCATATATTGTGCGAAAGGATATCCTGTAGATTTTAATGTTAATTGTTTCATTTATCTTCATTTTTGTTGGGATTGAACAGCAATGAACAACTGCTTTTCAATTAATTGATTATAGATATATACTTGTTGTATGTTGTATCAAATATTGAATGCTTAAGTAATACTTCAAAATCAAATCGATATATTTATAGTTGTATAATTAAACCTTATTCTTTCTTTAGTGCAAAATAATATGTTTAAGGAAATTCGATTTGATTTGGAGTAACATGCTTAGCGGTTTATTGGCATAATTGGATATTATAGCAAAAAAAATGTACCGTTGCCAAACATTGCTATTTTTATGTAGAGTTTTTTTTTGAGTAGGAGTATTCCATTCTAGCACAAGATACGTTCGGAAAAGTGATACCACGTTTTCTTTCACGAGAAAAAGATAAGAAAATCGGTTGAAAATTAACGACAACTTTTCTCTATAGGGTTTGGTCCAAGTCTCGAGTGTACCAGAAACATGACGGCCGTAGTCAGTATTTATATGGCTTGGGTGTTCTGCGGATCAAACTAAATTTTTAAAAACAACATTGCGACCATTTTGATTCATGTACTGTAGATTAGCTGACTTTTTTAATAATCCTTTTAAAACACTTCCCAAACGTACTCTGCTTTCATAATTGATTTCTCTACATCGTCTATTTGAAATATCACACAATTTGGCATTTTCGCCAATAAAATTGACTATTTTGTTGTGTTGATTTGGAAGGACGTTTCGGAAATATTCGGATTGTATCTCTGTCGAATAGATGAATGCTCTATAACTAGACACTTAAAATCCTTTACATATTGTGTGAAATTTATATGCTCCGATGTAACCGGAGAACTTCAAAGAGTAACTAAATTACTTAGATGCTATATTTATTATTTTTAAGCTAAAACCCATTTTGTTCTTCTATAATAATTAAAATACTCACTACGTATTGCAAACAAGGTCCTGCCTGACTTTTCGCATATGGCATAAATGGACATTTGATAAATTGAGTTTAGTTTGAAATTGTTGTGGTTAGATGAGGCGGGCATTAGAATAGATTAGATTAGGCTGTTGCTTGTTTTCTTTTGATTTACTGGGAAGTTTTGTTCTCCCCTAATTTGGACCAGCCAAATATTCATGTTTCAGGGTGCAAGAGTTAAAGGGCATTCAAATAGCCCATTACACTTGCTTCGCAGTGCTGGCATCAGATGAAGCATTGTGGTTCGATGTGGTGCGACGCACTGCTGTTTCGGGCAGAAAAAGTACGACAAACCCTCCAAAGATGCTCCAAGCCGTCAGAAGCGTCATGAGCAAGTGCCCCTCGATTTTGTTCTGCAAGTTGACAAAATTAAAAAACACACACACACAATTAAACATTTTGAGAATAATGTTTGATTTGAACCAAGGACCGACATGGCTCCTTTATTTATTTATTATCTATACATTTGTTTCTTATTTTCAGATCCATGGAAATATTTTGAAGTTTCATCCTTATATAGCATGTATTTCGTTATTGCATAATACTTCTTTAATTATGAAAAGGCTGTTTGTAATTTTCAAAAGAGAGCTAAACTAGAAACCGTTTAAAGTCCTTTTCAATTTTTATATATACTTGTAGTATAGTACAGGTATCGGTTCATATTTGGAAGGCGTCAGTCTGTCTGCCCCACAATTGAACTCAACTGAAGAAATGGTGTGGCCTGCGTCGGCTTTTTGAGATAGAAAAGCAGGTGCAGCTATTATTAACACTTTATGTGCGAAATGTGGTCAAAAACTTTTCAATATTTCTATGAAAAATAACATGTAAAGTGTGTCCCTAATATAAAATAGCCTAAGATTCTTCTATACTATAGATGAGTGGTGCTCTGGTTTCCCAGTATCTATCAAAATAAACAGCAGTTGTATAACAGTTTATTTAATCCCAATAATGGTGTAATTGAATACTACCTAAAATATATTGGAATATGTCTGACAACGCAAACTTGACAGTAAAGGAGCTAACAGGAAATTCACAATGTGAGTTCGTTCTTGAGTAATCGCATACAAAATTATGTAAGAGTGGTCACTTATAGTATATAAATGTCAAATTGTTCTGGTCTAAGCTGCGGGCAGATTCTTAACATAATAATAATACGAATAAAAAAAAAAATGAAAACAAGTTGTCGAGTCAAAAGAGTAGCATAATCTGCAATCTAAATAAATATGTACTTATATTTACGAGAATTATATTCAAAACCGATAAATTTGGTTTCTGAGCTTCTCCATTTTAACTGTTCTACAACAACGGACAGACACAAAAAAGTCTCCTATTTATATGTAGTAGTAATAGTATGTTTACATACAACATTTGAATAATGAACGCTACAACTGATTGTAGAAGAGTTAGAGTTAGTTCTTTCAGAAAACACATTTTAGATGGTTGAGACAGACTTTTAAAATTAAGACTGCCTGGCCGTGGATGAACGTTAAAAAAATATGTATGAATGTATTTTGTGATAAAATGAATATTGGCTTTAACATAGAGTATTTCTTACCAATAACGACAAGTACGGCGTGAGTATCAGTGCTAATCCAGCGGCCACATTGCAGGCCCCGACGCCCACATTACGTATGGCGGTGGGATAGAGCTCGGCCGTATAGACGGGCATAATGGTGTTGCCAGCACTGATTGTGAACTTTCCCATCATGAGGAATGTGATCTTTAGCCAGAGCATCTCTTCGCGACCCTCGGTGAAGCCCGCACAGCAGCAGGCGACGCCTGTGCAGAGCAAGGTGGCGCAGAAGAGCCACTTCTTGCCCACTTTGGTGATAATGTACATGGCCACAGCAATGGCGGGTATCTCCACCAGACCGGCTAGTGCCTGCAATAAAAAAGAGCCAGACAGCGACGATGTATTAAATCAGCGCGGCATCAAAGGTGCATACCATACGCTGTCATAATAAATTAAGCTATAAATTAGCTGAGAAAGCTTGTCGGGGTGCGGGTGCCGAAAGCCTATTGCCTGTCACGTCTGTTTGGACAGACGCCAATGCGGCAAAAGCGGCAGAAGCGGCGAAACTCAGGTCGAAAATTCAAAAGATTTTCGGCTGTCATTATGCGCTGCAGGATTTGTGTTGCGTGGGTGTAACGGGCGCTTGTAACATCATAATTTGATTGCCAACACATTTGCCTGTCTCCTGTCGAACTGTCCATCGCTGACATGGACATGGACGTGGCACATACCAGCTGACAAATTCAATTAAGCGCGGACAGCAGCGGGGAATGGAGAGGCTGACATGAGACATCTCTATCCATCTCATGGCTGTCCACTTCTCACGATTTTTGGGACTGTGGAGTGGGCTCGCACTTAGCGCTTGACACTTAATAAGTATACGCAGCATTCTTCTTGATAGATAGAAGTTGGAAGATCGTTAAGTTCTCGCTGCTCGGGGGGTTATGTTCCCTTAATTCGATAAATCAACTGAATGGCTACTGCTGTGTTCATTTAATGGAAATCGCTAACAACTAATTGCCGCAGTCATGGCTCACCTTCACATCTGAGGGACTTACCGAATTCAAATAAACATTTCCGCCAAACGAGCTCATGTTCAGAATAATGCCATAGTAGACCAGATTCATGGTGAACCAAATGCAGAGAAAGCATATCGAAATGCGGCGCAAGTAGCTCGATCTAAACAGGTACGTAAAGTCTTGGGAGCTCATTTCCTGAGTTGGCGGCGTCAGCTGATAATCGGCGGGTAGTTCGCGTCCATTAAATTTGGCAGCTGCCTCGATGATGCGTCGCACCTCGGTAATACGACCCTTGACCAGCAACCAGCGCGGCGATTCCGGCACCACAAACCTGCAATGGAAACACATAAATCGAGATCTCACATAAGTTAATTTTCTTCTTTTCTTTGCCTTGTTTACATTAGAATTTCTTTAAAGACAGGGAAGAGCATGTGTGGATTTATTTAAAATAGCGGCACCCACGCCAACATGTCGGAAATTATTTATTGCCGCTTCTTGTACACTCAGAGAAAAATAATAGGTGTTGCTATAGGTTCCATAGAATCATTTACTTAAAATATGCTTTTCAATATTTGTACAAGTATATAATATAATTACACAGCATTGGTTCAATACGTTTTATCATAACACCAAATAGCTAAAAAAAATTATCTATCTCTCATTAAGAGTACAGGAACAATAACAGGAGCAAAACTATTCGATACACCTAATTCTGTTTTTACAGGGTATATTGGTTCCAGAAGCAGAAGAAGACATTGATCATATGCAAAAATAGGTGATTGGTTCCTCATCTTTAAAGAAATATATATGCAATTTTTAATTTTCAAACCGTGTTATATCGAGGTAGGTATATATAGTTACCATATGTCCGCCAGTCTGTTTCTGGGTGAACTAGTCTATATTTTCTTTTACCAATGTACCTTTTATGCCAGGAAATACTAGTCGATTTTAACAGAGTTCTTTGATAATTTAAACTAAATCGAACTATTATATTATTATAAATTTATAAAATGAATATAATCTGTATATTTATTAGCGATATATATTTTTTTATGTTTTTTTTTTTAAGCAGAGTAGTACATTTGCAAGGTTTTTAAGTTCGGCGCCCTTCCGAAGCATTTAGTTTAAAGAATTTTCTTCAAATCTGGTATAAAATACTGGGTGCAGTATTCAAAGGTCTATGATTTCAGTTTTCTACATTTTTGTAATTTATCAGAATATATATAGAAGAATAATAAAATTAAATTTTAATTTAATGTAAATGGAATTGCGCTTGTTTGATATTTTGTAAAAAAAACTGCGAATTTAAAACAATTTAAAACCACTTTAGAGCTCGGTATATTTTAACGACTTACAGCTGTTAACAACACAAACTAGAACACTAACACTTATTGGAGTACAAATTCCTTCCATTTGATTTTTTCATTTATCCAATAACTTATGTTATGAATGTATATATATTACTTTATTTACACTCCTTTTCTTATCCCGTTGGACCGATGTCCATATGAAGTTAACATCGCCTTGTTGGGCCATATCGTTAACACCTACGGCAGTCGGTGATGATATTGGAGTTATAGAGGTTGAAATAAAAACGTTTTGTGAGCGCCGCTCGGTTACCCGATTTAATGTAAATCGGACTGATACTTCCAGTCACTGGGAATAGGTGCCGCGAAGCCTCCGTACCACAGAAACTTCCGACTGGTATATACTAGAGTGGTCGGGAAGATAGAAAGTTTTAAGACTATCTCCAGGTCCAGAGAAGAAATTCTTTCCGAGACTCTTCCTTCTAGCTTGCAGAAATCGTAAATAAGTTGATGGCATGGCAATGTTTCAAAAATTAATTTCTGGTCCGCATTAATCTGCATGGCCTTTACATGTTTGTTACTTAATCTTAAATTTGTTTGCAATTAAATGCTTCTTTCTTTACCCACAAACATTTGAACTGAATAATTTTTTCTGAGTGTACGCATTGTTCTTTTCATTGTATACAAGTATAAGGTTTTCATTAAATTTTTTATGACTGCAATTAATTTATTGTTTACTTGGATAATTTCTATATACTTGTATTCGGCTAACTTACCAAAGGAAGCATAAAAATATGCCCGGCAGGCCAATACACAGTTGCAAACGCTGATAGTCTTGCGTCAGATAGGCTAGGCCCGAGATGAGCATATAGGAAATGGGCAGCGGGAATAGATTGTACATGCCGGCTATTGTCCTCCATTTTCCATCCACATACTCGATGGCCAATATGAGGCCGGAGTAGGTAACCGACACTGAGACAAGGCCCAATAGTGCGCGTAGTGTTAGGTAAAATTCGAAGGAGCTAATAAAATACAGCCAAAGACCTATAAGAACAGACAGAAAAAGAGAAGCGGGCATAAGAACGTCGAAAGTGAAAGCAACTTAAATAGTAGGGCTTAATGCATTCAATCAAACAGCTTTATAGTCTAAAGTTGATATGAACACAACAAGGTAAAAAGTTGCATTAAATTTGTGTCAAAAATGATTTCCAAGTACCCAAGGAAGCATCATCGACGAACAAATTTTTTGTAATATTACAATTTCCTTCTTTTAAAGTCCTTTAATTATTCTACACATATGTACAGAGCATTTTAAATTCGGGCTTCTCGGCCTTCGCTTCCCCACTTGTTTTAAAAGTAAATCTGCAGATTTGAAGCTCGTTTCTAATTCGACACTACTTGTAAAGTACATTGCAACTAGCTAAAGGCATGTTCAAAGCTAATGACTTGCCTTAATTATTTCATACTTGCTTAAATATATATTTTCTAATCAAGCTCAGTAACATTGACGCAAAAGTAACAACGGCAATAGCAACAAGAACTGATGATTCTGCTTCCTGATGCATCATGGCAAAGCTGCAAGCTCTGCCTGCCCATCACTCATTAGTAATGTCCTTTTGAATGCAAATTTCAATTACACTGTACGAGATTTAATCAGCAAGGACAACAAGGCTGGCAGCACACTCGACATCGACCTCCAGCCACGGCTAAGTTCACAGGCGTCCAGTCCCCAATGCCAGTGCCATTTCCGTGTGCGGCGCACTTGTGAATGCAAAATCGAAAGCAAAAGCATAGTGGCCTTTGCAGTCTGTACAACGACCAGAGCACGCTCCTCTCAGCATGCTGATGAGGTTGATGATGGGCATTGTAAGTATGTATTGTTCGCCACCCCTTGTCCCTGCACCTCTTCACACATACTCACCAAAAATGGTCTGTAGCACGGCCGATATGAAGAGCATTGTTTTGCGTCCAAACCTGTCGGAGAGGTAGCCGGAAATGATGCCACCTGTTGCCACACCAAGCAGAAAGAACATCTCGGCCACGTTTTTCATATGCTCCTTGTCGCACACCAGATCCCACTGAGAGGTCCATGTGTTGCCCACGTTATCATCAGTTGCGTACTCCCAAGCCTCGCACGCTAATATTTTCCCGCCAGCAGCATCCGTAGTAGCATTCGCCTTTGCCTTCGCCTGTTGCTGCAACATACGATAAAATGGGTGCTTAGCTCTCTCCGAGACTGTGAGTGTGCTTGTTCGTGTACAAGTACAAGTATATACTAAGTATGTCATATAGTGCTACAATTTAAGCGAGATTCGCACTGAAATCAGCTTGTTTTTCATATCGCTAGTGCGTAAATAAATGGCAAACACCGGAAGTTCCAGCAAATTCTTATGATAAAATCATGCTTTTGCAAAATGCACATCCAAACAAATTATGTGAAGGTCGAACTCCTTTTAGCGTATGTCTACATTTATTGCTTAAAAGAAGAATCTTAAAATGCTGAGATCGAACCTAGCGGGAGAATCCAGCTCCATAAACTGTATTGATATGCGAATGAAGACATGGTTGAGCTATTTTTTCAGCGTAAAATAGTTGTCAAATTTTAATTTTAATTTTTCTTAGACTCAATAACACAATAACCCAAAAGGAAAATAGGCCGTTAAATAAATCCTGAAAATTTATTTTGTTGTCTTCTTTTCATCATTTACTACCATGACGATGTCTCTGGCCATTTCAACAGTATTTTTCTCAACTGTGATCTCTTATATATTTATTTATTTATTCATCAACAAATAAAGCTGTCGATGTAGAAAATCAATTCAATAATTAACTTAAAGAAAACTAGATTCAAAAGTAATGGAAGCCAATGTTCACAAAATTACCTAGGTTTATATAATGCATTTGTTGTTATTCTTTTAAAAAAAAGAGAAAGTATATTTATCAATTGAACATATTAAACAAACAATTATCTCTTCTACTTTTCAGAAAAGATTTATAACGATTTTGGAAGAGTACTAAAATTTGAAAAATGTACGTTTCATTGAAAATTATTTGCATTTGTAACAAATATTTTTCTAAAAATATTGTTCAATTTTCTTATTGCAAAGTATTGTACATGACAACCCATCGTAAAATTTGCTTTCCTTTGGTTGCAATTAAAAAAAGTGCCTGCAGCTTTTTTTTGCCCCATTTGATACTTTTATTCGGCGTGTGTCGACCGTTAGCCATGGACAGCATGCTGCCTGTTGCTTGTGTGTTGACGGCATTGGACTGTGGCAAATGGGATTTCTCGAATGAAATCAGGGTCTTACCTGCAAATGCGCCACTGATGTCGTTTCGTTGCCCACCAGCGACCAATCGATGTCCGAGCGTTGGTGACAATTACCGATGGAGCCGCTCACATTGCGCCACACGTCGACGGGCAGCTGTTGGAGATGAGCTGGCCGCTGACACCAGAAATCTTTGTTGGCCGCCTGGTATACCGAGGAGGATATGTGGAAGGTGTTTGGCACTTGGAACAGCGACAACAGCACAGTCATGATTAACTGCCATTTGCCATAGTGACCCATGAGGTCGCCAATCACATCGGTCTCATCCTCATCGTCCGCTGCCGACCCACTGTGTGGCGATTCTGTAGCGGCGACGACTGGTGGGCCAGCTTGATGGACCGTTTGTTGGAGGGACGGTTTGACTGCGTCGTGCATTTTGCAGAAAGGAACTGCAAGAAGAGAGGAACAAGAAACAATTTGAAATTAAAGCGATTACCAACTGGATGACGGTGCTTGTAGAAAGGACGAAAAGGAAAAATATTAATTTTATTGCGCATGTCAGCCACACACAAAGGCGCAATTAGTTAAGTGGTTGGCAATAAAATAAGTCAGCCAGTCAGCGGCCGACTAACGCACAATGACCTCTCAAAAACAGAAACTGAAGCTGAAGCAGAAGCAGAAGCAGATTCATTGCCAAGCAACTTCTGCTTAAGCCCGTTTAGGCCAACTTACTATGGGCAACGGGAGCGCTCAAATGCAGTTAAGTCGAGCGGTTGCTGGCTGGCTTGCTTCATTTATTACGCGCCCTTGTGACCTGCCCGCCCCCTTATTATTGGCAGGCACGCCCACCTGCGTTCGATGGAATTCAATCACGTATTACACGATTAAATACATCAGCCAAAGTCAAAGCCAAAGCCAAAGCCACAGCATCAGCATCAGCTAGAGCAGAGGCAGCAAAAGTTGTGCACGAAACTACAAAATAAAAGAATAATAGCGGAGATTTAATGTAATTGCGTCGGGGTGGTGGCGGTGTCGGTGTCGGTGGTGCTGTTCGCTGTTCGTTGTTCGCCGTCAGTGGCTGACTATGCCTGGGCACAGTGTGCATGTCCTTTAGTGTGTTTGTTAGTTAAACTTTTCTTTTTCGCATTGGCTTTGTATTCGAAGCTTTTGTAGCGCTTTGCCATTGTCCTGATTTGCCAACGTGCCGGCGAAGTGCCGGGACATCAATGCCAAAAAGTAGGCATTGCTATAAAGCCAGGGTGCGCAAATAATACAAAAAATAGGAATATATGCTTAAATAACTTTTTTCTCTTCTCTTTTCCAATTCCTTGTTGCTTAGCCGCATTAAATAGTTAATCTTTTTAGCTTCCAACTAAGCGAACTTTTCCTATTCTTTTGCAACATAATCAGCAATTCAGTGCAAGTAACAAATTGGTTTTCAAATTCGTTCAATTTTTGTTCGGCAATAGAACGGTAGTCCGAGAAGTGGTCGCAGGTAACTAATTGTGCAGATTAGGTGATTGATATTGGCCCAATGGTAGTGGATCGGTTTCCAAGTACGTCTCTTCAAATTAATCAGAAACGTTGACCAAAGCGATTTATGAGCGATGACAATGTTCTATTAATATTACATGTACTATTGGACCACAAAACTGGTTTATTCATGAAAACAATGTGAGCTTACAATTGACGTCAAGTGGGAATTTGAAAGTAGTGTAGCAAGAGTGCAGACCAAGAAAATAACACTTTATAGTTCGACTATGCTTCACAAGAGAATATTTTGCCTTTTTACTTGTTTATAGACAAGCAAAAAGTTTTTGGCAAGAATCCGTTTAGATTTTCGTTTTTTCCTAATATTAATACTTGTATGTCGCCCACAAACCACGACTCAACCCCCAAAGCTTTTAGTTTGCTGAAAAGAAAGGGTATTTTGATTTATTTGAATAGCAAATTTGACTTGGCGTGAAAATGTGTAAGCAATTGTGAAAGCAGTTGTCCTGCCCTTCCCCTGCCCTACGTCCAACCCAAAACAATATCGAGAGGACGGATAGAACTAGAGGCGCACAATAAGAACTTGAAAAAGTTTTCAACTGCATTGCTGCAGATTCTGTTGAGGTGTCCCAAAGAATTAATAGCCAAGGCAACTGACGACAAAACTGGTTTCATTTCTGCCACAGGTGGGACCGCTTCAGCACTTAATAAATATTAATATAATAACAATCGCCTTTCCTTTTTGAATACAAGCTGATTGGCAGCTTAAGCTGAATTACGTTTTTAAGTACATACACATGCTGAAATAGTTAATGTATTTACCAGCACACTTGTACTTTTATTAAAATGATTAAATTAGCCAAAAAGTTTATGTCCAAACATCATCTTCATAGACAATTGTTGTAGTTTTAATTGAAAAACACAATATAATTTGTTGGCAAACGTAAAAAATTAGAAAATTGAAATAATGAATGAAAAATTGAATTACAAAACACTTCTACATGAAGTTATTGAGCTGCGAATTATCTTAACTATGTCGATCCAATCAAAAAAAGCTTTTATTAGGGTTATATGAGAGCTTAGTTCGCTTTATTAAAAAAAACATTTTAAATGTTTTTGCTTTAAAAAAAACGTTTTGATCTGCATCGAAAGTCGATCTATCTACTATATTGATCCGTCCACATTGACTATACTAATCCATAGGCAATACAAGTTTATTTCATTTGTTTATCCTGCACCGATAGCTTGAGAAAATCCGAATTCTTCAACTCAAAACCGTTTGCCTGTTAACTGGTAAGTATATGAAAACGGCAAACATTTAAAAGGCCCTTGGAGTGGAGAAGTTGTGAGGCGTCTTCGAACCCATGCAAATTTTTTAGCAAGGCGTCTACTGAAACGACGCACTAAGGGAGGAGGTTTAATGAGAAGGAGGCTGAAGAAGTCTCACCCTATTGACCTTACCAATAGATTTATATAAATTATAAATGTAAAATTGTAAAGAGGACTAAAATCCAATTATTTGTGTTTAGCTACAAGTTTAATTTAAGTTATTCACATAACAGTATAAATAAAGTGTAAATATCTGGATAAAAAGATCCCAAAATGGATCCACAAGTATATGTACAAGTATATTTTGATTGTCCGAGCGTTGATGAACTTAGTATGAAAAATTTGGTAAGCATTAAACAACGCGGGTTTAATGTATATGATTTTGCTTTCCCCTCCCTCTCTAACTATTTAATTTTAATTTCATTCACATCCTTTAATCGGAGGATAGCTGTGGCAACACTTTCCTTCCGCTTCTTCTTTTTTTCGATTTCAAAGAGGCTCGTCTGTCCGGCTTGCTCGACGGTACCATTGTCTAAGGTTCTCTCTTATAGCTGTTGCTAAGACGTGTTTTAAAAAACGCCATTGACTAGTTTCTGTTCCTAAAAAGAACTGACTATACCAGTTAGCAGGACTGTTTTTATTTCAGAATTGAAGAGCTAAACTGAATTGTATCAAGGATTGGATATAACGCAGAATGCATTTTTACACGCCATTAACTTACGTTTGTTCTTAGGAAGAATACAATCTACAAATCAGCGGCACTCTTTTATGTTAGAACTGAGGAGTAAAACGGAATTTTATCAAGGATTGCTTAATAGAACATAGAATCCATTGTAGCATGAATAACGCTCAGATTTAAATATTTAAACACTCAGGCTCAGATTCGCCAGATGTCGCCATTTAGCCGCACAGTAAAACTCGCGCCATACGCCACACGTGATAAGCAGTTAAGCGAAAATTTTCACGCACTTGTAAGCATAATAAACGAAGCGTGCCTGCAAAAAGCCGCAGGCGCCAGCATGAGCAAAACTCAATGTTGAGCCCAGCAAGCTGACAGCTTGCAGCAGCCAGCCTGCGAGGGTGCCGGGATAACTAATTATCAATTTCATAGGAACTGCGCAGGCAGTGTCCCTATGCACTGATGCTTGCACTCTACACACATACAGTTACAGCTACAACTATTCCAACACCAACAACAACAACACCAACAACCACGACAACAGTAAAAACACATTGTCTATAACAGCCGCCGTCGCAGTAACCGTCGCTGTCGTCATCGTCATCGTCGTCGTCGTCGTCGTCGTGTTTTCGGTCAGTGAAGTTGTATCGAACAACGTGTTGGCTGTTGGTTGTTGGCATCCACAGTCCGTCCTCGTCGTCGTCGTATTCGTGGCCAACGCCAACGCCGTCGCCGTCGCCGCCGCCATCACCACCACAGTACGAGTCCGCCTGTCGAAGGTCGACATATGGAACGGCTCAATGCTAAAAACTACGTATGCACTGGCAGGGGCCATCTAAATTGCCTTCAACTCGTGGCGCACATGGCGTATTCGCAATCTCGCGGCGTGCTGAAAATAACAACCCTAATTGCATTTTGCAGCTGCCGACTCGTTGCTTCATTTGCATGCATTTTATAATCATCATTCCCGCTCTCCCAACGATTGGTGATCAATTGTTATGATAAAGCACCAAACAGTGACAATTCATCTAACGAACAGCCTTTTCTCCCTTCTCGTCTTTTAAGCCTTTTGTGCACCTTTTAACGATTCGCACAATGTGCCCCAAACGATAAATCATAAAACGAATTGTCCTTTCGTAATAAGTTAAGTTAATAAGTACCTACTTGTATTTCCTACCTACAAAAAAAAATTGTATTTAAATAATTTACAAAGTTAATAAATTAAAATTATATAATTTAAACAATATTCATGCATTAACTTACACTTGTAGGCATACATTAGCTTATGAGTATATGTCTTTATATTGTGAAAAAAATACGCAGTTAACATTTCAAATCAAACAAATTTCTTAGTGTTGGACTGAAGAAGAAGTCTTTGAAATAAATTTTACGTATCTGAATTGTAAAGTGTTTCAATCGAAAGTTTTAGAAGACTGGGGGTACTTTCTATTGCACAGCTCAGGGAGCCTTACATAAGATTAGATCTAATTTTGTGTGGAGCTCTTCCAATCAACTTTTTGAAAATTTTTGTCCTTTATGGAAGCGGAAGCACGGCTGAAAGTTATAGAATGATGATCCCTAAGTATAGCCTAACTTTAGGGCGCATCTTTAGTAAACAAAGGGGAGGAGCTGCAGAATAGGCTACCTCATCTAATCCATAGATTACACAATGTTAAACTGCTTTTTAAAATTGGTATGCCAATTAGACAAAAATAGTACCAGCTCATCACTATTATTTAGTAGTCCAAAGATCAAAACATTCCTTAATTATAAATTGAGAATTTTCTGTAGCAAAGTTCGCAGTAACCTGCGACAAAGAATAACTAATAGGCTTAACACAACAAGCGTTTAAATGCAAATGTAAGCAGCGCATGTGAAAGTAATAATTAGATAACTTTTAAGAATACATTTCCATATGCATTCAGCATCCATAATAAAGAGAATGCATTC